ATTTTTGCATGACCCTTAATATTATATAGTTTTAGTTTGTATGAGGAAACTCCTTTAACTTTCGCAACATTTTTTAACATCTTACAACACTGTTTGACTTTGTTTACAGAAGCTTTAAATAAAACTTCTCTAGACCTGAGTAAGCAGTTGTGTTCAGTCGCGTGTGGCGTGCATGTATCGCTGCGAGGATCCTCTTAATACAGTTTTAAACAATATATTTAATTTGATTATTTGATTTGATTATTTAATTTGATATTCTCAAATTAAAACCGCAAAATAGTGATGGAATCTAGAGATCTTCCATACTTTCTTATAGCAATTAGTGTACTCATTGGCTTAAGTGCTGTTGCAAATGCACGTAAGTAAAATAATTATATATAATTATAAATGAAATAATAAAAATATATGTAAAGAAACGTGCCTTACTCCAACTGGCTCCTATGGCACTTGCGTACCAATTCAATCCTGTCTTGAAATTGCAAATGAAATAAGAAGATATAATGGATATCTCCCGCAGAGTTTAAAAGATCAATTAATACAACTTCGTTGTCCTGGACCTTCACCGAATGATGTAAGCGCATTTCTATTTGATTAAAATATGCGCTTTTATTTTTAATTAATTGCTTATGTGAAATTATAAATAATTTTCGCAAAAGTAATTATTTTATAATTTAAAGCAATCAGGTTTTCTTGAGAAAAATAAAAACTCGTTTTTGTTTGTTCAGATTAACATTTGTTGTGATTCTTTACCAAATAACGGTGGAGATGATTATGAAAGTTCCTTAAATCAATATGGCTTACAAATTTTAAATGACCTCAAATGTGGAGTACCTAATGGTGATCGAGTTGCGTTTGGTGAAAAAGCTAAACTTGGTGAGTTTCCTTGGATGGCTTTAATAAAATACAATTCAGTTGATAAACCATATAAATGTGGTGGTACGTTGATAACCCATCGACATGTATTAACTGCTGGGCATTGCTTGTCAGCAACCTATAATATGTAAGTAAATCGCAACAATTTAGCATCATATATTTTTACATTTAATATAAATAGTGTTGGTGTACGTCTTGGGGAACATGATATGAATACAGATCCTGATTGTGAGAAAAGAGGCCGTAAATTTGTATGTATGCCACCTGTGGTCGAATATGGCGTTGAAAAAATTATATCGCATCCAGATTATAAGAGACGAACACTGGTTAATGATGTTGCGATCATTAAACTGAATCGTGATGTTGAATTTAATAGTAAGTGCAATTTTTATATTTTTGATGAAAAAATTCACATATTAGACACTATTTGTTGTATTATCTTTATTTGAATAGAACATATAAAACCAATTTGTTTACCTATAACTAAGCGTTCAATAGAACTGCAAAGCGAACAGCTTTATTTAGTTGCTGGTTGGGGTACAACTGAAAATAGTAGGTGAATATTGGAAGTACACCTATTTACAATATTTAATGTTATATTTTTTGCAAATTGTGAAGGTACGAGTTCTTCAGTGTTAATGAAAGGTTTAGTTAAACACCAGGAGTTGGGGGTTTGTCAAAATGTGTTTAGACGCATGCGACTAACTAATGAACATTTATGTGCTGGGGGAGAAGGTCGTATTGATGCATGCAAAGGTGATTCTGGTGGACCATTATTTTTCATGGCGCCGTATAAAACAAGTAATCGGTATGTGCAGTTCGGTATTGTCTCATTTGGTGTGGCTGCATGCGGCTTGGAAGAAGCATTACCTGGTGTTTATGCCAATATTATACCGCTGATGCCTTGGATTACATCAAATTTAACATAGTTATGTTAATAATAATATAGTTTTTAATAAAATAATTTATTAATAGCTTTAAATGAAATATTAAAACCAAACAATTTTTATGAGTCTTTTTTATATTTAAAATTTTTCATATAACAAAATCATTTACAAAATTTTAAATCCTAGTCTTGTACATTTTAATGAACAACCAGCAAACATACCTAAAAATTTATATAAATACAGCAATTATATTTATATATAAATAATATAAATAATTTAGCTTTATTTATAATATAGATATAATATATAATAATCTGTTTATTTATAATATTACAAAAACAATTTGTTATTAAAATAAAAGAAATGAAGAAATTGTGATTTTTAAATCTAAATCGTTTTTTTTTAAATAAATTCAATTTCTTAAGCATTTCTTAAGACCTTCTGTTACAGTGTCCTTATTTCGCAAGACGTAGACTCTCCTACTTAGGGTCGCACTTTTTCAATTCATTAAGAGAGCTAAATTCTATTTCCCTAGCTCGTGTCTAAGAAGTATTATTATTTCTGGTAAGAATTATATTATATGTAAAACAATTCCGTATTATCCCAACTGGCTCATATGGCAATTGTACACCTATTTGGTCCTATACTAAAATTATTAATAAGCTAACAATATTCGAAACAAATGTAATCCAAAATTATAGAGATTATTTACTACAATATTGTTCATTTATAATATTGTTCATTTTTTAATGTGGGATCACAGTGGGCCTACTTCTTGGGGTCTAAATGAGCTGAGTGTGTTGCGAGACGGGCTGTCACTAGTATTTATCATGTGTTGTTGTAGGTTGGGGTTTAACAGAAAATGTTAAAGAACATTGTATAAGTTATCTATTTAACATATTTATTTTTGTGAAGATACGCGTATTTCAGTGCACACATCTAACAGTTACCCATTATGCATACAATCATATGCACGTTCATATTAATCATATATGTTTTGACGGATCTCGAATTAGTAATTCATGTAAAAGAGAGTGGCCTCTTATAAAACATTTGATCGTTTTCGGCTTGTTTCAACTGGACTAACAAAATGCGGCTTGAAGGATTCACCACCTACTGTTTATACAAATGTTGTATATCAAATGCCTTGGATGACGACAAATTTAGTTTAAAGTAATATAAAAAAAATTTGATGAAAATTTGATGATTGTACCAAGTTCATTATATTTATGTGTGATTATTGTTTAATTATAGTCTTCTATTTGATTTATAAATATTATTTTTACCTAAAGCAATAAATATAACATTTATGAAAAAACAAATAAAAATAATAAATTAATTCGTTTCTTAAGTAGTTAATTATAAGTGACTACACCTATAATAATAAGTCGGCTGGAAACAAATATTAGCTTCAATAAACTAAAATAAAACTTTTTGACGCGGATAAAATCGAGATAAAAAAAGAAATACCGATAGTGCATTAATAAATAGTTAATATTTATTAATTTATTAATTTCTTATTAAATAGTTAATAAGAAAAGTACTTCAGAGTGGTTATCACTTTTAACTGCCTTTGTCAGTTCACATTTTGATATAAAACGGTTTTAGAATACATTCCATTTAGAATATTCCTGATGAAAACCTCCATTCAAAAGTTTTTTAAGCATTGGAATTTTTCAAGATGTAGTGTTTAAGAAGTCTCTTCCATCAATATTCAATCAATAAAAAGTGAACTGCTACTATGCTGCACAAAATATACATGTGACGCATTGAGGCAATATTTTTATAAAATATTAAGGCGAAATACAGCATAAACCATTGAATTTCACACATTGATTCCGCAAAGCTGCTGCTGGAGGAAGCTGATGAGAAGCTGATGGGACGCTGATTCACCAATTCGTAGTTTTGTGCCAGATTACTCAAACTAATGATATTAAATTTAAAAAAATATTCATTTTACGATTTTAATTGCACTGATTAAAATTAATTTATTTATTTATTTATTCTAGATATTATATATGTAATTTTTTCTATTCTATTAATAAAATATTAGCTGGAAACTAAGTAACTTGTTTACTTAATAATTGCTGTAGATCGAAACTTTGATAACTTAAAGTAAAGTATATATTATTTAATTATTTACGATTTTATGTGAATGCTTTATACCATGTGACATATAATAGCATAGCATTGACTAACTTGCCATAGAACTTGACTTGTTTACCGGGAATGCACCGTACATTGCTGTAAAAATTATTCGTTCTTAATTGAAACCACAATGTCTTAAATATGTATTTATGTGTTATGAATCACATAAAATTGAGTTTAAGTTTGATTATTCGATTGTTTCGCTTCATGTACAAAATTTCACTAATATTAATTGCATATTATTTATTAATGCAAACTTAGACAAATATTTCAAATGAATACTTAATGATAAGAGAATTGTTTATATTTTGTTGCGAATTTCTGGAATTCGATCTTTAATATTAGTCACACAGCTTCACGAGAATACGCGATAAGTAGTTTTGAAATAACAGCTTGTTTCCAGTGTTGGTTAAGATAAGTTTAAAATGCGTAATGAAAACTATGTATTAGCATTGATATGAGAAAGAGCTATGAAATAGTAAAAATACTTATACCTTCGAAGCGAGTGTAACTAACTCAATAAAGTTATATAGTCCACAGGATATCTATTTCATAAAAATGGACACCTCAAATACAGAAAAGAATATTAACACAAGATGGAATGAAAGAGACACAATGATAGAAAGAGAGATTCCGCCAACCAGTCTTGCATGCATTAGGTAAAGTCACTTACGATGTCACGTGAGACATTTTTAATGATTAAATATATCAGCGTATTAGCTTATTTCTGATTCTCACTGCACACATTGTCAAATATTTTCGTCGACTGCGTTTGGTTACAACTTATTGTATTGGTGTGTTCTCGCTTCATAAAAGATATTTTGTGATTATTTTTGAGATTTGTACATTCCAACCATATCCAATAAAATCACATTAAAGCCTGAATACCCTTTATACCCTTTATACCTTTATAATACCCTTTATAATGTAAACTAATATCTGATCTAATTTTTATCACTTAGTGCTAAACAGTGCTGTAGACCTAACACTTTACAACACTGTTCATTGTTGTTTACAAAAGTTAATACAAAATTACAAACGAACTGTACAAAAAGTTGGATTTAGTTCCGCATATCATGTTGTAGTGCAATGTGCGGTTTAAAGTGTGTTTATATAATTGAAAGAGTAATGAAATAATTTTTATATTCTCAAATTAAGAATTAAAATAGTTTTAAAAAGAATAAATGATCGATATGAGATCGTACAAGCACCGATATTTTTTTGAAGTTATTGGGGTATTAATTACTTTAAGCTCCATTGCAAATGCAGGTTAGTCAAATAATTATATTACATATTTATTATATTATATTTTACTTATTATATTTTTATTTGTAACTCAATTATATGAAGAGCAATCCTGTTTTACCCCATCTGGCTTATATGGCAATTGTGTACCTATTCGCTCCTGCGTTAAAGTCGTCAACGAACTATTAAGATTCGGTAAAAATGCACCACAAAGTTATAGAGAACAATTGATACAATCTCAGTGCACTGGATCAACGCTAGATAATGTAAGTGCAAGACTTTGTTTAATAAATACACATAAAAAATTATTAATTTTCTCTGTAAATGCATAAAAAATGCATAAAAAAGAATTCCAAGAATTACAAAGTTTTAATTAAAGAATGTATATAGAGTCTTTGAACTAAGTTTGGCATTCTACGTAAGCTTAAGTGAAAGGAAGGGATTTATTGCGTCATATATATTTAAGTATATATATATTTTAAATTTCAATGACTATAGTGGTTTATAGTATAATATCTGAAATCTTTTCAGTTCTTTTAAAATATTTATAATATACAATATTTGTAAAAAGTAGAGCAGTCCACATATAATTTCAATGAACAGTTGAACAGAACCTTTCCTGAACAAATAATCTACACATAATCTAAACTACACATTTTTAGATTTAGATAATTTTTATATTTGCAAGGTATGACATCATTTTTGGGCTTAAGTCATTTAGTCACAGAAACAGTATTTAAAAGAAGGTCAGAACTGTTATTGTTAATACCAACAAATATAGGATTCCAAACATTCCATTGCAAAAGTGAAACGGTCAAAAACTAACTCTTTCACACAAAGTTGAGTATCTAGGAGTAATTCTTGACTCAACGCTTAACTGGAGTGCCAACATTGACGAAAGAATTCGCCTATTATGTGTGGCCTTCTATGCGTACAAAAGTATGTATGGTAAAACTGGTCCGTTGTTCGGCCAATTTTGACATTTGGTTGCCTGGTGTGGTGGCCGTCGGTGTATAAACAGTGCATTGCTCAAAGGCTGATCAGACTGCAAAGATTTCTTTGGATGGGTGCAACGGGAGCATTGAGATCGTGCCGCACAAAAGCTTAAAGATTTAAATTGTTGTGTTCGGACATGGTAACATTTCATCACTCTATCCGATGGATGAGAATAGTGAATCGGACTACCTGTGTCCTCGCTTACACTTCGGCAATAGCTTTACTACCCGAACTCCTTTAAGAGAGGGATTGGAAGCAGGGCTGCTTACAACACTAGAAAAGATAACGATGCATACCGACGCACAGTATGCCAAACCAGAAATTAGGCGATCAAAATTCGATATTTTTAAAACCAGTAGAGTTATTTACATAAAATTTATTTTTGAGATAGCCTGTATTTGGATCTAATTTGAGCCCAATTGGCCTAACGAAACATCTTCAAATTTTAGGTGAAAAATGTTGCGTTTTCACAATTTCTTACTAGAATTTTGGTGCCCAAAAAACCTACATTATAATATATATGCCCAAACTTTTTCATGGTATTCCTCCCACTGCCACTGTCATACAAAATTTTCATAACAAATCGTTCATTATCGTTAAAAAACTTTTTTGTCTTATTAGATTATAAACATTTATTACGTACAGTTCTTACGGTATTTGCAGTTTTATTCAATTTTAGCGAAATGCGATTTCGCAAAAATTGGGCCAAATTTAAACCCTTATAACTTTTTTACTACTTATTCAAAAGTGACCATTTTCGATTTTTTTTAAAGCTTCTATTTCCGTTACCCAAAAAAGTTACATAAAATTTTTTCTACTAATAGCCAAATGGTAAAGCTACGCAAAAAAAGAACTGCGTTTTCTATGTTTTATACCTATTTCAGGCCCCAGAAATTACTGAAAAATTACGCAAAACGTGATCTTCACTAAACCTTATTTATTTCTAAAACAAATTCAATAAGTAATAATAAAAAGACATTTATTAATTTATAAATATTTAGTTTGTTTATATTTAAAATTTTAAGCAAATCGGTTGAAAAACAACTAAGTTATAACACATGTTCAATTTCTACCTATTACAGTTTTCTTTATAGTTCAACGTTCTTCCGATTGTAGTTTTTGAGGGAACTAAGAAAATGTAAAAATGCCCCATATTTAAACCAAATGATGTCAATTAGGTTCAAAAGAGGTGTAAATATCTGTACTAGTTAGAAAATATTGAATTTTGATCGGTTAATGTCTGTTATGGCACACTGTGTGACGGGTCTAAGATGGACAAAGACGGAATCTTTTTCACGGGTCTAAGGATTAGTAAATCCTAGCATCTCTCCGATTCTATTTCAAATTTCAGGCAGAAACCTTTTCCATCCTTAGGGCATGTGCTCCTACTTTAAACAAGGATTTTCACGGAGAGGAAGTCTATATTCTTATTGACAGTCAGGCAGCTATAAAAGCTTTATCAGAAGCCTGTATTTCATTCAGATTAGAGCAAGAATGTAGAGAATTTATTTACGTATTAAATGAAAGGACCAAAGTAACTTTAGTTTGGGTTCCCGGGTATTCTAATATAGTTGGAAATGAGTGCGCAGATGACCATGCTAGACTGGATGCTTCTTCTACGGATACCCCTATTTCAATTCCCTGCAGTCGAAGGTTGATTTATGACCATTTTTTGACACAGGCTAATAGTGGTACATACTACCTCAGCATTCAGGTCAAGGGATACATGGTCAATCTATTCTAAATCCGGAACCTCTGATTTGATGCACAGAAGCAAAAGCCTGGCCAGAACTAGGTTTAGATTTTTGGAGGCTTCCTTCTTTAACACACTAAGCGATATCTCCAGTGTTAGCATTAATTTTAATCTTAAATACAAAAAATTAGATTAACATTTCATAAAAAATTCTTTTTTTCTTCTTCTTATTTCTGTTACAGTTTAGCGATAATATAAGCATCTGTTGTGCTTCTACCGATAATAGCGTTAGCATCAGTGAGCGACTAACAGATTCAGGCGGCATAAATCAGAGAGGCCTCGATCTTCTCCACTCGTTAAAGTGCGGTATAAAAAAATTTATTCGTATTGCTGGTGGTACACCAGTACCATTGGGTAATTACCCTTGGCTGGCGTTGTTACGGTATGAAGCAAACACGAATCCATTCAAATGTGGTGGTTCTTTAATAACTCATCGTCATGTCATAACTGCAGCACATTGTGTTGTTAAGTTTCAATTTAATATGTAAGTCAACAACAAAACTATAACTTACTTTATACCTTACTAATTAAATTATTTTTTTTTATTACTAATATAGAGTCGATGTACGTTTAGGTGAACATGATATAAACACGGATTCAGATTGTGGCCGAAACGGCAAAAGATATGTATGCATGCCATCCTCTAAAAGTTATGGCATTGAAAAAATTACCGCACATCCAGATTACGATAGCAACACATATTTAAATGATTTGGCCATCATTACTTTAGATCGTACAGTTAATTTCAACAGTAAGTTTAAAAGTTGGAATATAGAAAGAAATCAAAAAATCTATAAATATTTTCTATTCATTCAGAACATATCAAACCAATTTGTTTACCCATAACTCCAAGTTCATTAGTAATTGCAAGAGATCAGGAATACATCATTGCTGGTTGGGGTATTACAGAGAATGGTAACAGAAAACTTCTTTCGTGAAGATTACATGACTTTACCTATTTTTTTGTTTACCAGGCACAACATCTCCAATACCATTGAGAGCAAACGTTCCTCACCGTGATAATGATTACTGTACACAAATTTACAGAGGCTTAGAGATTGCAAGGCAACAAATTTGCGTTGGTGGTGGAAGTAATATTGAAACATGCACTGGTGATTCTGGTGGCCCATTGTTCTTTAATGCAAACTACAGAGGTACAATAACTCGATATGTACAATATGGAGTTGCGTCACTAGGCGGTGTTGGTTGCGGTCGTGTTACGTATCCTGGTATTTTTACAAACTTGAAAGAATTCATTCCATGGATTACAAATGTCATCGCGTAAACTACAAAAAAAATGACGCTTACATTTTAATATAAATTTAGTCAACAAATTTTATTTTTTACAAACGTTTGCATTTCTTGCCATATAGAATAACATACACCTGCCAATATAATAATACCAATATTAAATGTTTATTTTATATTTATTTATTTAATTATACTTATCAATTATGTATAATTATTAAATAATATAATTTATTTATTATATAATATTAAAGAGCATTTCCAAAAATGTTATGTTTTGAATTCTTTAAGGAATTGACCAAGGAAACACCAAGGGTACTTGCAGTGACCCTTTTAACTCTTATTATAATATTAATGCATAGTTTCTGCAAATATATTGAATACAATTAATGAATCTGAATTACGTTCCTGCTAGGGTCTGAAATCTGCTGAAAACGGTATTACTTACTCGTCTATTTAACTATAGAAATTGGTAATGTAGTTTGAATAGACTAAACTTTTATTTTTACTTGGTATGATTTTAGCGAACGCCATTCGCATAAGCATTTCAGTTTATATCTGAATAAGAGTTGACCATTATTTATGTCATGTATATTATGGAGCTTATATTAGAAAATTGTTTCAATATTTCAGAACAGCAAACATTGTGTAAACTAGATTTTGTATTTATATGGCTACCGGATTGGGGTTCTTTTCATAGACTATTGTCATTTCGATTTCAGGAAAAGTAGAGACAAATAATACAACCCGCCCATACAACCCGCATGCCTTCCAATAGCGTTGGTGACATTCCTCCATCAGCTTTGGTCTAATTGAAGCCTGGATGACTGGTTGAATTACCATTCGACAGTAAAGGCCAAGCAAAAGACAATTCATCCACTTTCACTTCAGCCCGACAAGTTTACCCATTCTCATATTGGTCGTTAGCATCATGTGTCTAGACCAACTAATCCAAGCTACCACTGTTGTCTTTAGCAATTTTTTACACAGTGTTGGCGATTTGCTAGAAATTTTTCCATCAGCATTGGCCAAATGGAAATCCAATTGGCTGATTAAGTTACTGCTCGTCGTCTCAGTTTTTGTAGCAGCTCATTCACTACTATATTGCATAAGAAAGATTACGCCCCCTTGTGGAGTGATGAATCCATATTTGCGTCAATATAATAAAGCTAATGAGCGCATCATCAACACCCAAGCCCAAGAGTACGCTTGTTGTGCACTAGAAAGAATGTTGTTAAAAGCTCCTTCAATATCTATAAAAGCAACCATACAAAATTCCTTTAATTTGAGAAATTTTTCATTGAGGTGAGTGAATGGTACTCTTCTCATCTAATAGAGGGAGCTGGGAAGGAAATGGATATGTTAACGTCCATATCCATCAATGAATCAGAGGTGTTGGCAGGCAGAATTTCTACTGGAATCACTTAAGCTGCGGGAGTAGGTTTATTGTTGCCCACTTCTGTTTGGATGCAAACAGTTCTTTGCGGTGCCACTAAACCCATTACATCCGGTAAGGATTAACCTTATCCTATTTACAGTTAAAAAACTATTACGGTGTTTTTATCGATGTTTACATAACAATTTAATTTATTTTTTATTGCTCTAAAAGACTAACTGAACACACACATTCCCACAACTTCGCCATTGATCATATATAGTCCTAATAGGAAGGGACCTATTCTTATTTTGTAATATTACAAAATATTAACTTGGCTTATGCTCACTCATCTTGAATAGTAGAACTCGATGTGTAATGGAAAATATCTATCTAATAAGAGGCTTAAATCCTTTTAATATTGAAAATGTTTATAGAGGAGATAGAGAAAACTTTTATTTTAATTATTTTTTATTTTAATTTATTTATTTTTTATATATAATTCATTTTTTTCCTAAAAACAAAAGAAGTAATATTAATGTAACAATATCGGATTTATTAATGTATTAACTGAAGTTTACGTTCTTCTAGTTCCAAAATTGCGTAATTTTACTTTCTCTATATATTCTATTGTTTTAAATATTTCAAACTAATACTCTAATTTGTAAAAAAACTCTTGTGAATAAAATAAATTAATAAAAATACAATCATATTAAATTTATTATAATAATTTTATTAAAATATATTCGAAAAACTAATCATTATTTGTTACTTAATACATATTAAATTAACAATTTGCTCGGGAAAAATTTGGTACGAAAAAGGGGAAAAAACTCCCATTCATCTTTCATTCAAAATAAAGGAAATGGAAAAAGAGAAAAAACTCCCATTTAATTCAGAGTAGGTGTGTTTAGCTGGAAACTAAGTAACTACAGCATTTACTTAATAAATGCTGTAGATTGAAACTTTGATAGTTCAACGTTAAATGTTTATTGTTCAATTATTAACGATTATATGTGAATGCCTAGTATCTGCTAAGAAAGCTTATCAAGTGAAATCATGGCGTATCACACAAATAAATTGTATAAAATATAGTGAGTCTTTGCTTGTGACATATAATAGCATAGCATTGACTAGCGTGCATTAGAACTTGACTTGTTTACCAGGAATGCACCGTACATTGCTGTAAAAATTATTCGTTCTTAATTGAAACCACAATGTCTTAAATATGTATTATAAATCGTTATGAATCACATAAAATTGAGTTTAAGTTTGATTATTCGATTGTTTCGCTTCATATACAAAATTTCACAATTGTTCTAATATTAATTGCATATTATTTATTAATGCAAACTTAGACAAATATTTCAAATGAATACTTAATGATAAGAGAATTGTTTATATTTTGTTACGAATTTCTGGAATTCGATCTTTAATATTAGTCACACAGCTTCACGAGAATACGCGATAAGTAGATTTGAAATAACAGCTTGTTTCCAGTGTTGGTTAAGATAAGTTTAAAATGTGATATAAAACTATGTATTAGCATTGATATGAGAAAGAGCTATGAAATAGTGAAAATACTTATATCTTCGAAACGAGTGTATCTAACTCAATAAAGTTATGTAGTCCACAGGATATCTATTTCATAAAAATGGACCACACCAAATCAAATTTTACACCTCAAATACAGAAAAGGATATTTACACAAGATGGAATGAAAGAGACACAATGATAGAAAGAGAGATTCCGACAACCAGTCTTGCATGCATTGGGTAAAGTCAGTTACGATGTCACGTGAGACATTTCTAATGATCAAATATATCAGCGTATTAGCTTATTTGTGATTCTCATTGCACATTGTCACATATATTCGTCCACTGCTTTCGGTTACAACTTATCGTATTGGTGTGTTCTCGCTTCATAAAAGATATTCTGTGATTATTTTTGAGATTTGTACATTCCAACCATATCCAATACAATCACATTAAAGCCTGAATTCCCTTTATAATGTAAACTAATATCTGATCTAATTTTTATCACTTAGTGCTAAACAGTGCTGTAGAGCTAACACTTTACAACACTGTTCCTCGTTGTTTACAAAAGTTAATACAAAATTACTAATGAACTGTACAAAAAGATGGATTTAGTTCCGCATATCATGTTGTAGTGCAATGTGCGGTTTAAAGTGTGTTTATATAATTTAAAGAGTAATGAAATAATTTTTATATTCTCAAATTAAGAATTAAAATAGTTTTAAAAAGAATAAATGATCGATATGAGATCGTACAGGCACCGATATTTTTTTGAAGTTATTGGAGTATTAATTACTTTAAGCTCCATTGCAAATGCAGGTTAGTCAAATAATTATATTACATATTTATTATATTATATTTTACTTATTGTGTTTTTGTTTATAACTCAATTATATAAAGAACCATCGTGTTTTACGCCAACTGGGTCCTATGGCAATTGTGTACCTATTCGCTCCTGCGTTAAAGTTGTCAACGAACTATCGAGGTTAGGTGAAAATACACCACAAAGTTATAGAGAACATCTGATACAATCTCGTTGTACTGGACCAACGCCAGATGATGTAAGTGCAAGACTTTATTTAATATATGCACATTATTAATTATTAATTATTAATTTTCTCTGTAAATGCATAAAAAATGTTTTCCAATAGTAATAAGAATAATAAACAATAATAAGAATCTCAAGAACTATAAAGTTTTAATTAAAGAAAAGTAAACATTTTTTTATGTGCCTAGATTTATATTTGTTGTGATTCTAATGAAGATGATTATGAAAAATCCTTAAACCCAAACGGATTGCAACTTTTAAATGAACTTAAGTGCGGTCATGTGGCTGCGAGGGGAACCAATCTAGGTGAATCTCCCTGGAATGCTTTGTTAAAGTATAAATCTTCAGAAAAACCATATAAATGTGGAGGTTCTTTAATAACCCATCGACATATATTAAGTGCTGCACATTGCTTGGTGGTAGACATTAATATGTAAGTAACCAATATAACAACATTTATATACATATATTTTGATATGAAATTAAATAGTGTTGGTGTACGGCTTGGTGAGTATGACATAAATACAGATCCTGATTGTCAAAGAAAGGGACGTAGAACTATATGTATGCCTCCTGCTGTCGACTATGGCATTGAAAAAATTATAGTACATCCATATTATAGTAGACAAGCATTTATTAATGATATTGGATTAATTAAATTGGATCGTGATGTTGAATTTAACAGTTAATTTATTTTTATTTACATAATATGTGCTGTTATAAATATCTATTGTCAATTGTTTAGTACATATAAAGCCCATTTGTTTACCAATAACTAAACGTACAGCGGACACAAATCGTGAAAAATACATTGTCACTGGTTGGGGTACAACCGAAAATGGTAAGTTAACGTTTTAAATGACATCTTGTTTCTATTTTGTTATTAAATTTTTTTAGGCACAACTGCTTCAGTGTTAATGAGAGCTGTAGTTAAGCACCAAGAACCTAAATTTTGTCAAGAATTGTTCAAGAATGTGCATATAACTGAAAATAATTTATGTGCTGGAGGAGATACTTATGAAGCATGTACAATTCAATCTGGTGGGCCATTGTTCTTCTTGGCACCATATAAGACACTAAATCGTTATGTACAATTTGGGGTTCTTTCGTTTGGTATGAATAAATGTTATTCGAAGGCATATCCTAGTATTTATGCGGATATTATACCTCAAATGCCTTGGATTACAGAAAATTTAGTTGAGTAGTTGAGCGGTTTTGACATGTCTAAAATAAGTTTTTATAAAATTATTTGAATTATATTACTTTATATCACTTTATTATATCACTTTATTATATCACTTTATTATATCACTTTATTTTAATTTAATAAAACAAGAACATTTTTATAAGGTACAGTATGTTTTGTATTTTAGTATATTAATTGATATTCAGATGTCTGAGTTGGTGAATCACCACCTTTACTTTATTTTATCTGTGGACAGTTTTAAGTCACACTAAGAATAACTGAATACGGGGCTTTATAATATGATGGATCTGATGTCTTTGTATCTGCCTGTGTTTATCAAATTTCGCTGTATTTTTAGGATGCTGAGTGTTGGATTATTGTGACTGTCAATTATATTGTACAGTTTCAGAGCACGATCTTAAATGTATTTTTCGACTGAATCGACTCTCAGATCTCTGTGGATATCCGCTCCTCTTACGTACCATGGGGCGTTAACCAGTTTTCTTAAGACAATATTTTGCCCTCTTTGAAGAATTTTTAAAGTTGAGTTTGGCGCTTGGCAAAACGCAATACTGCCATAGAGTAGTCCTGGTTTAATAATCTGCTTAAATATGCTAACTCTATTCTTTATGTTGATCTTTTTGCTGCTGATGAGCGGGTGAAGGGAGTGTAATATTCGGGCAACTTGAGCTCGTTTGGACTGAAATGTGTATTGAATAATATTTACATAGTCGTTTTTTCCTGAACGAAACTCAATAAGTAGTTATGTTTCTATTGATAATGTTTATTTTGAAATAATGTCCATAATAAAAAAACTAAATATTTTTTTAAACGAAATCTAACAAACTAACCTAAACTTTTTAATTATTTGCCAATGAAGACTTTATTGACAATTTGACTAAATTTTTTTATTTTTTCTTATTAAGATCAAGATCGGTTATACAAACTAGAGAAATAATAATTGTATCATTACTTATTACTATATAGTTGTCTTTCTTCAGATCAAAGATTCAGAACTTTATGATATATTTAACATTTATTATTTTTGTTTCTCTTGAATTGGAACTGTGTATAGATAAAATCTATTTTGAATTAACTTTAATGGATTAATACTATTGTTACAAGGCAGTAGTGAAAGAAAGTCATTCAATACATACAATTATAAAAATATATATGAAGTGTGTTAGTTTCAAAATTAATTTGATTTTTTTGTTTCTTTTGTATTACTAAAGAGAAAAATGATATTTATAATAAAATCATCTTGTTAGGGAAATACTTAACTACTCATATGCTTACACTTCCAGCAATGCCATGCATCGAGTGTATTTTCTAGTTTAAAATTTTCAAGTCAGCCCCAGATGCTTTTGAGATGCTCAAAAATACTAGAATAAAATATCTACTTATACAACATTAATCAATTATTTTTAATTTTTTTCCACTGAAATCACAGTCCAACAATAAAGAATTGAATAAAAGATGGGTCTTTTGGTTAGAATTGGAACTAATTATGAATTTATCTTGATAACCAGCTTTTTATTTTATGCGTACACAAAAGTATTTAATAAATATAAAAATTAATGATTATTATAATATAAAATAATATTTTTTATATTTCACTCAGTGCTATGTATTGCAATTATAAATTTAATATCATAAAAATGATAATTTCATGAACATCACAATACAATATTTATCATAGTACAAAATTACAACTGGTATTGTCCAATGTACTATTACAGTAATGTGATTAGCCTTAGACAAAATATAATATTAGTAATGCAGGATAATTATATTAGATTCAACAATAGGCCATTCATTGCCATAGACTGAATGCTTCATTGATTACCACTTGGTTTTATAAACAAGTCAGTAACTTGAGGTCTGTTCAGCTATTAAATATATGGTTTTCATTCCTTATGACTACATTCACAATTCAATCCTAAGTATCTTTAGTTGCTCTTCAAGGAACATTGATTACATTATTACATTCTTGATCAGATATAAATTTTTCTGTTGATTTTCCAGCTAGAAATATCTAGCATAACAGGTAGAGAAATGGATCTAACTTTATAAATATTTGAATGGCATTACACACAAAATAATATAATAGAGTAGTTAGTCGTCTTATAGAAACTGATATATAAACAATATGTAATAAAGACGTTTTTCGAACAGTAGTGAACTACAACAACAAAAATTCATTTCATATTATTATTATTATTTCCATACTCCATTACGAGTTTAAGGAGTCTACAAAAGTTTTCCACTGGTTTCTATCCTAAACTGCTAAACTGTCCTTCTCCAGGTCATTTTATATTATTTTTAATTAATTGAATTTTTTGCTGACCATACAGCTGTTTCAAGTATTGCCAAATACCCATCATCAGTGGTATTGGAAATAATTCTTGTATTTAATTATTCGTAAATAATTTTCTGAGACTGCAAGTACCAGGAATCGAGCTCTTGTTCTGCCAAATTTGAAGCTGAGAGTCATATATATAATATAATTAATAATATTAATTAAACTTCCATATGTGGTTTATATACTTATTCTATTTCGATATAATGAGTATATTATAATTTTGACAGAATTAGTTGTATTTTAATAGTTAATATTTTTTGCAATATGTTCTCTTTATTTAAAGTAATGTGATTTCACATCAAAGTAACAAATCTCCGGAAAAATATGCAAAAATATGCGAACATAAAAGTCAAGTACGGGCTTGGGTCAGTTGGATAAAGTGCGCTGACTCTGAGCTACAAATTTGACAGGACACGAGTTCAATTCCTGGTACTTTCAGTCTCAAAAAATTATTAAATAATAAATAAATACAAGAATTATTTCCAGGACCACTGGTGATGGGTATTTGGCAATACTCGAAACAACTGTATGGTCAACCATAAATTCTTTTAATTAAAATAATATAAAAAGAATTTCTGTTGTTGTAGTTCACTACTGTTCGATAAACCTCGTAATGCTATTAAGTTAATGTTTTATGACGCAAAATTAAATGGATTAATTGATTTGTAATTTTATAATTCTTTGTAAGGCTGTCATTAACATTAATCAAGTTAATTTTTGATAGATATTTAATAATAATACGCATAACCAATTATTGTACTTCCTAGATAATGTTTCAAATCAACTGAAACAAATTGTTTAGAGGAATGGATTTTGGAAAACCTAAAAATTAAAATAACAAACATAAAATTTGTATAAATAATAAATAAATTTATATAAATAAATTTCAATAAATTGCAGAACGAAGCATTTCACTTAATTATACGTAAAGCACAAGATGCAGATTATTTTCATTCGTGCATTTCATCTGTAAAAGCAATTATTTTCCAATATTGAACTTGTTTTGTTGTCTTGTTTCTTGTTTGTTTATATGATAAACTTGTATCTGAAGTTGTCATAAAATTGCACGGTTTTCTCACTTTTTCTCATCTGTGTGTGCAACAGAAACTGTAAATTGTGATTCCCCGTTGGAAGCATGTGCATGAGACGAGCGAGTATTTTCCAATTAAATTCACAATTTCAAATGTGGGAAATGAATTTTTTTACGTTTCTTGATTGTGTTAATCAAAATCGTTTTAATAGTTATATATAAAAATTGTAAGATAGAATTCCAAAAAGCCGAAGTTTTGTGACTCAATTGACTCAATTTTTATTCTGTTGTCACTGTACCAATTATAAACTGGATTTCATGCTTACTAAGTAAATTCAGTAGATCAAAGTAGTTGTGCTCATAGTTTAGTTATTTTATAGAATATTTGTGGATATGGATTTGTGGATATAGCATTTTATCAAATTGTTCATCGCAAATTGATGTGTAAGGCGTGTCTCCAAAGCAAGACATCACAGAAGCAAGCATCAATGAACTTGTGTCGTGCGTCTGACTGTGGATTAAAAGTGAAGGCTGCAGCTGAGTAGAGTATTTAATGTTATTTTTGTTGTTGCTTTTTACCATAAAATGTAATGGTCAATAAATATTTATAAGTTCAGTGGGAATTCACCGTGATATTGCAAAAATGTTATTCACCTATAATTGTAACCGCAATTTTATACACACGTATTAATATTGTGAATCATGCACAGATTTCAATCTAGTTTCAAAGGACTTTTCGTTTTTTGCTTTGGAATATATGAGTATATTGGATATATTTATTTCACGCTTAGAATAGTTGATTGCAATTTCCATAAGCTGTGGCTTATAAGCTTATACTTTGGTTATTTTTCTATATGTGTTTGTCTCTACGTTTTTAATGCATTTAGCTGGCCTTTTTTAAAATTTATTTCATATTCTTAATTTTGGAAACCTTTCCTAAAAGTTTATTCATATATAGGGTGTATTTTTAACTGCATGAGAAGACGACTAAAAAAAGTGTTGGAATGAAATTTTTTTATTGTAGTCTGCTAGATATTGTCATGGCATATTTTTGGATATGTTTGCCGGTATATATCCGCTAATGCTACGAATTACATGGTCCAATCGATGAGTCCAATTTTTAACTTATTTTTACAATGAATGTGGCCGTATGGCAACATTCAATCATCATTGGCTTCCAATTCTTTAAGAGTTGCTGGTTCGTCGGCAAAAACCAATAACAAAACATAGTTTGTGACTATGTTACAAAAAAAAAAATTCCTTATATAAAATGATAGCTTCTCATAAACGCTTCTTAGTAAAGGTACATATTAGGTATCACGTAGTAACTTTACTCCTTAATATTGTTGGATTTAAATGAAGTTTAGTATGTTGCCAAGCAGATATCTATATCTATTATAGGGTTATGTTGCATCTTGGGTACGAGTACGAATAGCGTTGTTTTTATATGCTTGTTATGGAATATAGAGTTGACGTTATGATCTTAATATATTATTGAACTGTATCATCTAGCGGTTTTCTGCGTATATCTATTATTTTAATATATTATTTCACTGTCAGGATTTTCTTTAGCATAATTGTCTGGTAAGCTTTTAGTTATTTATAATAACTTCAATTTTTAATTGTTAATTACCATATATTTAGTAATATATTTAATACATATTACTATATTTAATATGAAATATTTAGTAATATATTTTAAGCAAAAATAATTTAAAGAATTAAATTATTAAAAAACAACAGTAAAATGCTTTTACTGTAGCTAAAAACAACAAATTCCCGTCCGTCTTTGGCCAATTTGTCAATTTACGAATAATTAAAATATACTGGGAAAATCTGTCTCTAAGAATTCAGAATACATTTACAATCATTTCAAATGGGCAAAAAAAAAATTCCAATAAAAACTTAATGAAAATGCAAAACGATTAAAAACGATATATAAAAAAAATACTTTAAACTCTATGCTTTATGCCATTTATTGCAAGTGATGCCATGATTCATCACTGGCACAGCAATCTTGAAACAAGTAACGCACGCATAGGTCGCGCGCTGATTTGATAAGAACGTATTCATATTCTGTATAAATATATATAAATTACATTTTTTTAGTTTATCTTAAGCGTGTAAACCTAGTACGAATTCTGGGAAACCTAGTAATTTATAATTGTTTCGTGGGATCTCCTTTCAATGTTTATACTCATGCGCTGAAAAAATACTCAAATGACGTCAAATTGAATAGAATGAACCTGAATTGAATGAATTCATTACAAATCCAATACAATTTATTATCTTACTGAAATATGTATCTAATATTACTCATTTCATAACCATTAATTCAGGGAAGACAAAACGAATTGGCTTTTAATTCTCAAGAAGTAGGAAAGTATCTAACAATTCATGGAAGAAGATCAGATATGCGAATAAAGAATTAAAACTATAATTTATCCGAAAACCATTTAATAAATTTTTTTTCATCTTAAATTTAATTAATTACAATGTGTTCTTATTAACTATTAACACACATAATTTCACAAATGGTAATGAATGACATGAAAGATTGTATGAACTGCTCAATAATACTAAAAATAACAAGTTACCTGGAATATACATATTATCATCAGAAATTCTGGAATTTAGCTTCTATTTTCTTAATTAACTTAATTAGATTAAGTTAATTTTATATAAGCATACCATGCATTTAGATTTAATAGCCAACTATATCTCTGATCACTTGTGTGTCGCTTAATAATAGTATTCAGTGTTAAAAAAATTTTTTGAAAACACTCTAGGATAAACTAACTACATACGATTTCTACAGACTAGCAGATTTCATAGGTGTGAATCTAATCAACCAAATTATCTGTTTGTCGTTCACTTTCCGTTTATTTACGTATTTAACTTTAAACATATCCATTCCTTAGAGTTTTCATTTTATATACTGTATTATGAATTCAAAAACTTGAAAATAAAATTAAAAGTATAATGCTATGATATTATCTAGCCTTATAAGCATAAATAAACTAAAGGACATCATGCTAGTTCCGGAAAAAGTCGCTTAAGTTAATTGGAACTCACAGATCTAATGAACGCTAAATGTAGTTGGTACTGTATCCATTTCTTAACAACCGCAGAACACAAACGGATAGGATGCATACAGAATCTATAGATATCAGAACCCATTAATTTAATCTTAAAAATATTGTATTTAATGGGAGCATATTAAGAATTGGTAATTAATCTAAGTTGAAATCTGTTTATACTTAGAAAGCTGTTAGTATTTTTGTTGTTGAGTTAAATGAACTATTGGAATTCATTTTCCAAACAATACATATTTGTTTTTTCTAAGTACTTGAGTAGTCTAGTAATTAATTTCGTCTTATTGTAAATTGTCAAATGTTTTATTATTGTTAAGTCCTTCGGGACTTACTTTGTTCAAATATTAACGGAAATCGCACTGCACGATAATTATTAAGACTGAGCTCGTAATTTTCGCTTGGTAAAGAGAGATGTAATATGCTATTGCATATTATCATTTGTTAATTATACTGAAGAACAAGATTCAAGAAGTGATACCACTTATTGGGCAAACAAAAAGTAAAATCTAATTACCACGATAGCCTGAACTAACCTAGATGAGTGTTACTTTGTGTATGCTGGTCAACTGTGATATGAGAATTTTGCAGATAATTGAACATCATAATTACTAACTATGGCAACTAACTATTAATTACTAACTATAACTATTGGTTTAAGTAGTTCCTATATATTTTAAAGAAATTCATGTAGAAAGTATTATTATTAGAAAAATCGTGTTTAACCCACTAAAAATGTTGCATTTATAAAGACTTTTTCCTTTTGTTCATATTTCCTTACTATATACTACAATTTATAGAATAATCAATATAAAATTAAAAAGCGTTTTTTTAATCTAGTGAGTGTGCCTTCCTGTGACGCATCTGCATTGAGCGTGCGTCAAGCTGGAGTTATGGCACGGTAAACGTGTGTCTATGTGATCCGCCGGTTGACTATAAATAAAATCTCTTTTAATATTTTTATACTAAGAGAAGCAAGTTAGACTCAAGATTTTCCTGTTAATCAAGTTTACCATAAACAATAATCAAAGTTTCAATATAAAGCTGATACAGGGTGCTTTTCAAACAACTCTGAGCTTAAAGTAATAAATACTTGATTCTACAAAATTTGTGTATGAACTATACTAAATGCTTAAGCTATTTAACTAACTAATATTATATATTATTGAAAATTAAAATTTGCCGAAATTAATTTAATTATTGACAACTATTAACGTTTTATCAACAACGGTGTTTTAAATATGTTATATATACGAATAGCTAATTTGTTGCATTGATGTTCCCTGAATTAATGAAATCTGTTTGTAGTAGCGAAAAATTATGAATTTTAAATAATATCACTGATAATTATTCTAAAATCCATTCAAATTGCGTTATTCTGCGAAATTATCTTCTTCCTCTTCTTTTGCTCAGAAAGGAACAAAGTGGCGTACAATAATTTCACACTATTCGTTTTGGGGCGCCATCTTATTCAATTTTGTATTTGGTCACCGTTTTTTCTGAAGAAGGCTCTAATTAATCTATCTGTCGCGCTGCCATGTCGCTTCAATTTGCTCTAGTATTAACCAGTATTAATAGTTGTTCTAGGGTTCCGATTGTCTCATTACTCCGGTCACAAGACCGGAGTAAATTAGATATATATCAGAGATTATTTTTATAAATCTGATTTTTAGATTTCGTTCTTCAAAAAAAGAAAATTTTTGCTCTTTGATTCACAATTCAAATTCTTCGATATTTTTATTTTATAATTTTTAATTAAGAAACTTAAAAGTAAATATGAATACTTATGCAAAATAGATTTTATAAAAATATAATAACAAGTAAAGACAAATCTTATTTATTGTATTCTTATGTTATAAAAAGGGAGATTAAATCAATTATAAGTATCTACATATATATAATATGTTTTTCAACCTATCTATACCGATTTCGTCTGATCAAAATTGTATTCAAATCATTTTTGCTTTGTCAGTTGCAAGAAAATACAAATAATTTCTTAATTCCTGTAATTTTTATTATGACTATAAAGTCGAAAACACTATTCATGGATAAGATTATAATTCTTATTTTCACTTAAGCCATGCAAATTAACATATTGCTTTATTACTTATATATGGCGATTTTATGCCATTTTTATTAGTTCGTCGCCGAAGTTCGATTGGTAAATTTAAAGTGTGTGCCATTCTTGTTTAAAGCCGAATATATAAAAGTCTTCGGCTATAATTGGAACAGTATTTTCAATGATCCGATTCCACAATATTGCGGGTCATTTAGTGTATATCAGTCAGCATCTTCAATCCATTTATCTTGTGAAGAAAGATCTCACTATGCCGCACTTATTATCCATGATTAATTTTCCATTACTTTTAGAGTTAGACTAGGCAGCTCAGTGTGTTTCCTTCTATTATTGCACTTCCATTCTGTATCAGTCAGCATCTTCAATCTATTTTTTTTGCGAGGATTTATGATTTTTCACAATGTCGCACTTATTATCCTTAATTAATTTTCTATCAATTTTAGAGTTAGACTAGACAGCTCAGTGTGCTTCCTTCTATTATTGTACTTCCATTCTGTATTAGTCAGCATCTTCAATCCATTTTTTTTTGCGAGGATTTGTGATTTTTCACTATGTCGCACTTATTATCCTTAATTAATTTTCTATCAATTTTAGAGTTAGACTAGGCAGGTCAGTGTGCTTCCATCTATTATTGTACTTCCATTCTCAATTGTTTCATTTTCGAGTTCGTCTGATTTTGAAAAACCTTTGAAGCGTACGCTCTCAGATAAACTTCTCTACTGAATCTACCTCGATCCTATATGTATGTCATCATTTCTGATATATAGTGACAAATTCAGAATCCTTTCGATCTGAAAGGGTACTATGATACTATATAATTTATCGTATTTTTTGTTGTTTATAGATTAACACAATGAATTATCCGTTAATTATTAATCTTTCTTGTTAGTTCAATATATCATTGCCCAACTACTAAACTTATATGCTTAACGGTCAAGATATAAGGTTTGTAGAACGTGCATAACCCTGTATAAGTAATTGATTGATTGAATAATTAATTACCTTATATTCAATTTCAATTTGTATGTGCGCTTGTTAACATTAATAATATTTTAATTAGGTACAATAAATTGTACATTTCAATAGAAATTAAATCCATGCATTAGAACTCCAAAGAAGAGAGTAAGTATGAGTTCCATACTTATAATTCTCATTTAAACAAAACAAAAATTTTTTTATTATTAACACAGAAACCAGTTCGAAAAAATTAAAATGCAAGTGCAATTGTTATTGTTGATGTTGCTGTTGCTGCTTCTGCCTTTGGCTCTAGCTCTGGCTCTAGCTCTGGCTCAGCCGCTAACACTGCCGCTGACTGCCGCTGGCGGTTAAGCTGAGCTTCGAAGTGTTTATAAACAAAAGTATCGCAAAGAAGCAGTTTAGTTAAGTTGAGAACTTCGTTTGAAACACAATATTTACTTATAAGATTGTTTGCATAGAAAATAAAATTTCCAATAAAAATTAATATAAAAATTCAAACTGAAATAATATATAATATATAATAATTAATAATTAAAATAAATATTATCAAAATGAGTTTCATGCAAGGAATAATTTTAGTGATATGTGTTGTGATCAGTGCAACTTCCGCACGTAAATATCTCAAACCCTTTGAAAAGTTGGCGGAAAATGTAAAATGTATTTTCTCCTTTATTTTCTTTAGAAAGTTCGTGTTACACACCGACAGGCTCTCGCGGTCAGTGTATGAACATGCAGGACTGCAAACCAATAGTACAATTATTAATTAAATATGGTCGTTCACCACCAGATCATGTAGACAAATTCGTGAGAGACTCAAGATGCTACGATCGGGGCGTAAGTATTTCAATGCTTGTGTATATAATTTCACAATTTTCTAGTGCATAAATTAATTTTTTTTTTGTTGCTGAAAATGTTTATAAACATTGCGTGCTCAGTAAATCGTGATTAATTTTAATTATGAAATTATTTAAATGACTGGAAACAATTAGTGATATAAACTTGTAATAGGAATGTAGAATTTTAACGAAATCCTAATGATGTTTACAAAAACTTTTGAAATTATCTTTATAATTGATACTTAAAAGAAATATTGTCTAATATATAATATAAAATAGGTTATATTTAATATATATTTAAAAAAAAAAGCTATAATAAAAATGCAATAAATATTGGTATAATAATACAAAAAATAATAAAAATTCAATAAAAAATTAAAATTATATATTTATAAGAAAAAATATAAAATATATTATAATTAATAGATATTAAAAAAAAAAACTATGCTTGTGGACAACTAAAAAATATACTATAAATTATTATAAATATAATAATATTGATGTAGTCATATGAATTCGAGAGCTTTACAATACCCCAACATGTCAACTATTAGAACTCTTATTAACGTCCTATAACTTATAGTTACATTTCTGTTACATCTATATATATATTTTTTTTTATACTTATTTATTAATATCCTTCCTTAAAAATATTATAATATAAAACTAAAATATTAACTCCTATAAAAAAATGCTCGTATGTGTTATGTGTGATTCTAAACTATTTCAATCATGAACATTAAATAAATAATGATTAAAATAAATATTATAAATGAATAAGATAAATATTTAATTCATACACAAGTAAGAATTAAATGCATAAAATATTAAATTACAAACCCATTGGATTGATCAACACTGCTGGACTTTACAATTCGTTTCTAAAAACTATCTAAAATTTATTTATTTAATAATTTAAATAAATAATTAAGTTTTTTAATTTTCATATTAACACTTTGTTGATTGCCAACCACGAAACCATTGATTTTATGTCAAATAAAATTTATTTTAAATTGTAGTCAAATTAAATTCATACCACATTAAACTAAATATGAATATACAGTTACAGAGAAGAAAATAAAAATCAAATTACTTACAGAATATTTGTAATAAATGAATAAAATGTTAACAAAGATTGTTATAAGTCAATAAACACGATTGACAATTCTTCACATATAGGATAAAAATTAAAGAAAATTAACCTTTAACGTCTCAATTCTGAAAAGTACCTTCACAGTCTGTTTGTTAATAAGTAGGATTAATTGAACTGTATACCACGCATGTTTTCGATCCCTGCTCTTGATCGATATCAATATGACAATAAATTGTAATTCGTAAAAAACATTTCTAATATAAATAGTAATTTATAATAATTCCAAATTTTCAAACAATATTTAAATCGAATGCTTGCAAAAATTATTTCAAACTTATTAACATATAAAAGAGATGAATTGGCATCCCAATAAGCTAGCTCTAATCCTTGTAGCAATAGTAGGTTTGGAAGGTTGTAGAAAAATTTCAAATGATAAATCTAAAAAGAAGAATTAAAGAACACAAGTAGGTGAAATTAAATAATAGCTACAATAGCAATAGCTATTCTTATAACTATCTAGAATAAACTTGCAAAAACAGATTGCAAATAAAACAAGAAATATTAAAATTTTACCGGTTTTATATTTTTATTTAATTTGTTTCTTAATATTTCAATATGTAGACTAACTATAATTTATATACTCTTTTTGCTATTAAATATTTTTTTAATTTAAATTCATTCAAGTTTAACCTTTTGAAGCTGCAACGACATCAGTATTTCGCAGCATCGCGCTTTTATTTTGAAGAAACGATTTAATTTATGCAAATTGATATATAAAAAAAAATTTATTTCAATATATAAAAACGTTTTATTATATATAAATTGACAAAGTGTATTAAATTAGAGTGTAAAAAATTGATAAACGTGTCGATAAAAAGGCGCAACAATAATTATTGGTGAAAAAAAAACAAGAATTAAATGTTTAACACAAGCTTGAAAAAAGATAAAAAGAAATTTGTTTACTAAAACAAACAAAACAAACCAATTTTGAAATGTAAACAAATCAAAATATTTACAACTCTGTTTACTTTAATCCAAATTTTAACATTAATATTAATAAATTAATAAACAACTTAGCTTGATAAACAGCACAAACAGCACGCGTACTACTTTTTAGGAGTAGGGAAAAATTGGGTTATTTTTAGTGATTAATTTTAATCTGAAACATAAAAAATTACATTAACATTTCATAAAAAATTATTTTTTATTTCTTTTTATTTCTGTTACAGTTTGGCGGTGATGTACGCGTATGTTGTGCTTCCACCGATAATAGCATTAGCTTCAGCGAACGACTAACAGATTCAGGCGGCATAAATCAGAGAGGCCTAGATCTTCTCGACTCGCTGAAGTGCGGTATAATGAGTAATTTTCGTATTGCCGGTGGTACACCAGTAGCGTTGGGTGATTTCCCTTGGATGGCACTGTTACGTTATGAGGCAAACACGAAGCCATTCAAATGTGGTGGTTCTTTAATAACTCATCGTCATGTCATAACTGCAGCTCATTGTGTTGTTAAGCACCAATTTAATATGTAAGTCAACAACAAAACTATAACTTACTTTATAACCTACTAATCATGTGACTTTTTTTTTGACTAAAATAGAGTCGGAGTACGTTTAGGTGAACATGATATAAACACAGATCCAGATTGTGGACGAAAAGGCAAAAGATATGTATGCATGCCACCTTCGGAAAATTATGGAATTGAAAAAATTACCGCACATCCAGATTACGATAGCAACACATATTTAAATGATTTGGCCATCATTACTTTAGATCGTACAGTTAACTTCAACAGTAAGTTTAAAAGTTTGAATATATAAAGCAATCAAAACATCTATAAATATTTTCTATTCATTCAGAACATATCAAACCAATTTGTTTACCCATAACTCCAAGTTCATTAGTAATTGCAAGAGATCAGGAATACTTTATTGCTGGTTGGGGTACTACAGAAAATGGTAACACAAAAGTACTTTTCTTAAGACAACATGACTTTAGCTATTTTTTTGTTTACCAGGCACAACATCTCCAATACCATTGAAAGCGAAAGTTCCTCACCGTGATAATGATTACTGTACACAAACTTACAGAGGCTTAGAGATTGCAAGGCAACAAATTTGCGTTGGTGGCGGCAGTAATATTGAAACATGCACTGGTGATTCTGGTGGCCCATTGTTCTTTACTGCAACCTACAGAGGTACAACAAGTCGATATGTACAATATGGAGTTGTGTCACTAGGCGGTGGTGGTTGCGGTCGTGTTACGTATCCTGGTATTTATACAAACTTGAAAGAATTCATTCCATGGATTACAAATGTCATCGCCTAAACTACAAAAAAATGACGCTTACATTTTAATATAAATTTAGTCAACAAATATTATTTTTTACAAACGTTTGCATTTCTTGCCATATAGAATACACCCACTATTCTATAGTACCTATATTTAATGTTTACTTCATATTTATTTATTTAATTATACTTATCTATTTATTATATAATATTAAAGAGCATTTCCAAAAATCGTATGTTTTGAATTTTTTAAGAGATTAATAGTACTTGATCAAGGAAACACCAAGGGTACTTTCAGAGACCCTTTTAACTCTTAATATAACAAGATTATTAATGCATCGTTTTTTAATTTGAATACAAATTAAATATTATATGAAAATACAACACATATCTGTCTATTAAGATCCTGCTAAGATCTGACCTCTGCTGCAAACGGTGTTTGCAAACTTACTCGTCTATTTAAGTATAGAAATTGGTAATGTAGTTTGAACAAACTTTCTCTTTTATCTTTGATTTTACTTTTGTGTACCTGATTCGCACATGCATTTCAGATTGAACCTGAATTAGAGTCGACCATTATTGATGTTATGTATATTATGAAGCTTATATTAGAAAATTGATTCAATATTTTAGAACTGTGTAAGTCCTTAACACTATTTTCATGTTTCTATATTTATTTGGCTACTGGATTGGGGTTGTATCTTGGCTCCGGAAACTCTATACATTTATCTATTGCTAATCTGTTATCTAACTTTCCTACACTCACCATTACGCATACCTTCCCTGCAGTTTCTAACTTTATATATAAAACGGTAATATAAACGGTAACGTCTAAAAGGGTTTAGCATTGAGTATCTCTGTTTAAAATACTTTTAATCAATTTTATTAAAACTTCTTCTTGGTACCACTAACTACGGTTTCATAGTGTGCATTTTGTTTGAGCGCGACCAGTACCTTCCATCAGCTAACCCGATTTACAACTTTCCCGTAATCAGTTGATAGTAACTCGTGGTGTTAAATTTTTTCTTTTTAATCTTATTAACAAAAATACGAATTCCTGGATATTATATTATCATAGAAGAATTCAGGCTTAGGGTAAGGTTGGGTTCAGAAGGAACCATTTAGTTTTCCAGATGAAGTTGAGAAGACCCGATAAGTTTGCTTTCGTTACCTCTTCCAACCCTGTGAAAAAGCGATTCCCAAGACATTGAAGTCGCCTTGTCTGCAGTCCTGGACAGAGACGCAGGAACTGATAGATTCTAACTCCTCTTCATCTTGGCAACTCCTGAATAATCCACTTATTGGAACTCGCCACTGTTGTAGCATAGGCGCAATGGCACAATGCCCCGTTAGTACTCCAGTAAGTACACGAACTGCAAGTTTGTTGAAGCCTAAAAGGCGTTTGGTTTTGTTTTTGTCCAAAATAGACCATAAGGTTCTAACTAAAAATTCTAAGAATTTTTTTTGTTTGATATTTTTGAACAGTGAAACTGGGCGAGAGTTGAAAGCAAATCCAACAAATCTATCAGTACAAAATTTCTTGTATCAAACAAATCAATGTAAATATGTAGTATATTATATGTACATATTTGTGTAAAAACTTAAAAGATATTGACGTTATAAAGATGTTAATTGAATTCATCTATTGAAGGGTTCTTTTCTAAATAATAATAATACACAATAATAATTTCATTCACTCTGGTTATGAAATAGGTTAAAAAAACGTGCAGCTTAGTTTACGATTTATGATTAATAACACAAATAAATACTGATTGAATCATTACGATTTTCATTTTACTAGAATGCGACATATCGAATATAGAAAAGAGAATATTTTGAAAATATATATATAGATTAGAGACATCTTAGAAAGTGCATTGTTGTGAAGGATGGAGGATATTTTGCGAAACAACGTATTAAACATTTAGAAACCAAGAACTGTTGAATTAATATACAATTTATACCATTCTTCAATATATATATAAATAAACTATAAATGTTATGTATAATCAAAAATTGATAAAGTAAGAACCAGATGACTACGAATGAATCACTCTGGCACTTGGGAATACCACCACTTAATCGAGGTGCAAGTGATTCAATCACTTAATCGTTCATGCAACGTCCACAATCGTACAACCTCAATATTTATTTGTTATGTATCTGTAACTTTTAACACAGCTACAACACAACTGTGACTAATCAAAATCAAGCTTTGTTTTTGGAGGCACCTGAAGAAACCAGAAAAAAAATGCTTGACTTTACTTAATAATGCATTTGCTGACACAATTGCAGAAATACCTGCCACTCTACTGGATGATGGTTCATAAATTATGTAAAAGATCCAATAATTTTCCAATATTACGCTTAAGGATCTTAACAAATAGAAGTACATATTAAGTAAAATCAAGTATAAATTAAGTATGGAAAATTATGTATTTGAGTAAATCATGTTATTGATAGTGAATATAGGACAATTCCTGAATAACGAACTTCTTAAAAGAATTATTTGCATTTATGGAAACATTAGAGAAGGAGTTTCAGAGTCTTCCTGAATAAATGAAAAATAATCTAGTAGTAGAGAAGTATGTGAATCCAGACATTATAAAATGAACAGAATTTGTTTTAAAATTTGTCATGAGTTATATTTATTAATATTTAGCATGTAGTATGTGGTAATTCTTCTATGAAAAGAATAGAACTTCAAATATATATAGTAATATTTTTAAAATATCACACATAATGATGTCTTAATTTATTAAATGCATTAATATATATACAAAAGACTATTTGATTTATACAATTATAACTAAAGATATTATGAATAACAGTGTGCATATCGCTCTAGTTTTAATCATTTAATAAAATGATAACATCTTATGTCAGTATCAGTATACCAATACCAGTATCAGTTTCTGTATCAGTATTATTATCATTATCGTTATCCATTGTCCATTATTTATTATCCATTATTTATTATCCATTTTCCATTATCCCGTATCATTATCATTATCATTATCATTATCATTATCATTATCATTATCATTATCATTATCATTATCATTATCATTATCATTATCATTATCATTATCATTATCATTATCATTATCATTATCATTATCATTATCATTATCATTATCATTATCATTATCATTATCATTATCATTATCATTATCATTATCATTATCATTATCATTATCATTATCATTATCATTATCATTATCATTATCATTATCATTATCATTATCATTATCATTATCATTATCATTTATCATTATCATTATCATATCATTATCATTATCATTATCATTATCATTATCATTATCATTATCATTATCATTATCATTATCATTATCATTATCATTATCATTATCAGTATCTATATCAGTATCAGTATCAGTATTTAAAATCATATATTAACCCTCAAAACTTCAAAGATAGCTTAAATCGAAACTTGGTTCTTGTACGCGTGTCTGTTATTTATCATTTGTGAATCATATCGTGATTCATATTATGAATCACTAAGGTATCTTATTATAATCATTCAAAATATTTTATGCGGTTAAGCTTCTGTTATATATAATTAATATTTAAAAAGCCATGCTAATTTGATTGGTATTTGAATAAAAAAACATACATATGTATATAAAATATGGTGCCATTCATTAGAGATTATATCTTAAATGATTGGCATTAATTGTTATCATAAAATGCTTAATGGTTATCTTTTAATAATTGCCGAAAGATTATAATAAATTTACAAAATTCTGAAAGTGACGCTCTCTGATTTTAGGAAATAACCCTGATACTGGTTATATGAAGATGTGGAGACGTGGAGCCACTACTAAAACCCACATCATATCTGAAAAGCTATTACTGGGAATTTTGTATCATTTCACAATGTTGCTACTATAAAGATATTTTTATAATTTCTGGGAAACAATTAAAAGTGAAATAATTAGACGTCATTCAATTATTATTAAAAGAAATTTTTTTATCTGCTAATTCAAGTTTAAATGCTTTCTGAAAATATAGATCAGTGATATTTTAATTTTACTTAAATCCAGTTTGTTTTTAAAAGCCACGACATGTTCAACTTTTTAGAGAATCTCGCCACCATTTCCAAAGAATGCATTAATATTTAATAAGAATTTCATATTTCCCATTTAATTGCAATGAAGTGATATTATAACAACAACTACAACAACAACAATTAAGCGCCAATTTAGAGAAGTTGGAATTAATTATTTTTATCAATAAACAATAAACAAAAAACAAAAAGATAAATAAACACCTTAATTAAAATATTTAAAAAATATGTTTACTAAAATCCAAAAAATAAATAAAAATTAACAACAATAATAAAAGCAGCAAGCTAATAAATTATTTTGATTTAAATATCGTGCAAAATAAAAATATATTTAATGGCGAAGAAATTGGCGATTTGCTGTGACTAATAATTTTTGAATTTTTGAATTTTGGCAAAAAGTTTGCGTTCATTGAAGATGAGCATCCACTCAAACGTGCATATATTTGCATAGCTAATTAGCGCGCTTGGCACGTGTGTTGCGGTTGGACCAATGTTGAATTCAGCTCCAATGAGAGACAACCGACCACGAACATCATATGGCAATCTTAAACAACAAGGCCTGAACACGCTCATATCAGCACGGCCAACGCACGATTCAACGAACGAGAAAAACCCAACGAAACGCGAAACCGAAGCAAAGAATTTGACGTTTTTACCCAAATAATTATCGGAACCCAAAACGATATTCCCAAAACGAAAAAGGTCAGTGGATATTTTGTGAGTATTCTCAAACGACAAAATCAAAGTTGTATTAAACTTAACTCACTAACTCGGCACTTGGTTTTATCTTTCTCTCTGTACTACGAATTGTAAATTTAGAATTTCAAGTTTCCTATTCAGTTCATGATTTAAAAAAGTTTATATTATATATATAAAACAATCGGCTAGTAATTTATGTATTCAATGTAAATAATAAGTAGAATTCTGCGCTCTCTATTCTATCACATGGTCGTAACTCGGATGCGGGACAGGGGGCTTAAAAACAATATTCTTGAAATACCCAAGAAGATATTTTTTTATTTTTGACAAATTTAATTTTAAATTTATTTAAAAAATGGTGTTCACATTACAAATTATTTATTAGTGCTCTCAAAACCATCTGAACATGCACATTTCCATAACTTCACCATAAATCTTTTTAATATTGAAAATGTTTATAGAGGAGATTTTAACAGAAATCAGCTATTCCTACTTTTTCTATCTTTATTTTATTATTTCATTTTCTTGATGCTGTTAGTTAGCACTTTGATTTTACCTACGTAAGTGGTATGAAGCGGTTTATCATATCTTATAATTGACATAAATTCAACTCACAAGCAGTGTTACACTGACAATAATTACTATACTAAATGATTAAATGATCTCAATCAGTTCAATACACCATTTTATATTCAAAATTTCAAAAATCCGAAAAATAGTAGAAATTTGTTACTCGTAAAGTCACAATGAAGGCAATTACGCATATAGTAGTTCTATAATGTTTGACTACTACTAATCGTTAAGCTGAAATGATTTTCGAATCAATTATAATTAAAACAATATCCTTTAACTAAATTTCGTTTAGGTTTGGTCAAATTTAAAAATTACAAAATATACAAAAGTTTTTGTTGAATAATAGAAAATCGATATATTTTTATTATTATTCTGTGAATATAAAAGAGCTGAAAACACACAATATTGAATCTATAGTAATGTCCTTATCAGTCAATCAATCAGCCGTTTTTGGGTAATATCCATTAACTAGTAAATAACAGCGAAACAAAGAATGTTATCTCTTTTTTTGAGGCAAAACTTCATTTAGTTTAGTTTATACAATTTGACATAGGACATATCAGGAGGTGTAGTCCCGAGTAATCAACAGGAGTCAGGCTGAAGAGAAAAATGAAACTGAAGCTACGGTTTTTAACGCTCAAAATATTTTTAAAATTGTTAAGTTTTAAATAATTATATTGCGATGTCAAATACAAGAAATTAACTAATTTTTATATTAACTTTATAGAGTTTATTATGTGACATCCGCTTATTTTGTTTTGCCGTATTTTGTGACAATCTCAATTGGACTTTATAATAATTTTTTACTGTCGTCTATATCGTTCAATTTAGACACACTTTTGTAAGTACAAAAAATTCTTTTTACTAACAGAATTTATACAGCATTTTTATAAAATATTAAAAAAAAATGCCTTTTTAAAATTGCTCTGAATTATTAACATTATTAAGTGTTTTTAGATACATAATATGCAAATCTATTCCTTATCCTAAATAAGATTAACAAGTTTGCCTTTTTGAGACGTGTTGACCTTTGATGAAACCGAACATATGTAATCTGGATTAAAACAGTCAAAAATATGCCACTATAATTTTAGCTGTATACGAGGGAAGTCTGAAAAGTGTTGGTTGTAATAATACTTTTATATAAAATACATGAAACTAGTAATGCTCGATTCTTCTCGTTAGATTTAAAAAAGTTTTTCCCACATTGAAATTAACATCCATTGAGATTCACCACTCATATTGTAGTGTATTGGTGTTTTACAAGAAAATGTTCAGTTTGCAGTAATGCCATTTAACAAATACCTAATTTAAATCATTGAATATAGAATACTGGAAAATAAAATAAACGAACCTCTGTTACTTAAATGACAACAGGAAAGCCGCACAACAATGTCGTGGAACTTTCAAGTTTTCTGTATAATAGATTAAAAAAAATAATATACATAACACCAAAGTCATACGAGTCATTAATACGATCTATAAAAGGAAGCATATATCAATGGAGAACATCAAGAAACCAATGAGTTAAAGTTTTTTTGAGAATATAATTTTTAACCAATAAGAAGTAAACTACATCTTTGTTAAATGTATTTATGTGATTTTATGGATAAGGTGTACGAGAAACTTTTCTGTACATTTAGTGATTCTTATTTTCAGTATTAGTTTCATTATTTCAACGACCATTCTGGGAGTCTGCTTATTTATCACCTATCACGATCCTTCTTATGACTTTTTTTCTTCTTCTTTTTAGTTTTTATTTATTTTCTGAATTTATTTAAAAAATATCAACACATTTTGAAACAGTATTGTTATAACTTTTCTTACTGGCACCTTTCTTGCTGTACTTCCTTAAAATAACGCTTAAGCCATTCTTTTAATTATGCTGTTTCTATTTAGTGTAACAGAAAAGTAGTGAAATACTGAAATAGAACCTTTAATAATTTAGACTAAGCTTTAAGAGTTTCTATTGTACACTTTGCCTAATTGGTATGTCGAATTATTAAATAATTTATAATATTTTCTTAAGTGTTGACTGTTACGACCTGTTTCCAGGTCGTATTTGATCTGTGGACACTTTCACCAGTTTCATAAATCAAAAGCGCCAAGTGCTCACTTAACTTGATCACTTCATCTGTACATCTGTGTCTAATTCCAACTACTTTATAACATTATCTTCCATTCGCACCCTTAACTCATAGATAACCAGAAGTTGATAAAGAAATTTTCCATAGAACACTCCGAAAGGTTCTTTATCAATCTGTTATAGCCTCCATGTTTCTTTACAAAATAAAAGCACTGGTATATTGAGCAAGCTATAGAGTGGGGATTGTGTCGGTCAATCGTAGCACCTATTGGCATTGGTCTGATCTGCAGCCTGATATCAGCCTGCAGTCTGATCTGATATTGATATTGTTATTATTTTGTTTATGGTATGCTAAGATGGATGAAATCTTTGACTATGACTATAGTCACCTACAACCATATCGCAACAGCGTAGTTTATCTTAATGAAGTAACTGATTACCATTGTAAATTAAATGCAATGTTGGGCAGATCGTATGGCTATTTTGGAAAATCACATATTCACAAAGCAACGTAGTCTATCAAAAACAAATTTAATTTAATATTTATTATGAATACTTTATATATATATTATTATAATTTCATACAAATTATGGAAAACATATGTATTAATTCTAGTTTTATATATTTAGTCTTAATTGGAATACATCGTTTCCTGCTGTAACAGTATGTGAAATATATAATGGAGAGAAAATATGGGACGTAAGTGAAGAATATTTTGGTTCAGACCACGATTTAACTTTAGATGACTTCGTTGGAGAAATTGTATTTTTTCGTGGAACATGTACAAGTTGTAGCAAAAAATGCACAACAACCCAATGTCCTAATAATTTTACGGAACTGTTAAATGTGGTAAATATTGTTGATATATTCAATATAAATCTTTCATATAACGAACTTCTGATAACTTATCTAGTTAATTAGAATATTTTACAATATATTGCTGACTAATTTGTCTCACGACGACAAACATTGAAATATCTTATTTCGTGTTAAATCTTTTATTGAATCAATACTCTATGTATAATCTTCACTTCAAGTCTTAATTAAATTCTTTCTGATTTATTGTAGTTCCGTAGCAAGTGTGCTAAATTGATAATTAATTGCAGCTACACCAATAAAGTATTTAATTGTTGTGAAGAATTTCGACCGATAGAAACAGAATATGGCACATGTTATGCCTTCAACTCCAATCAAGCACGGTATGTCATATATATAAGCGCTTTACATAATGTTATTTTATATGCTATAATACTTAGAAAAATTTCCCAAATTTATCATGCTAATAATCGCGAAACCGGAGCTGGTCACCTTAAGTTTGACACTTCTGCAGATATACAATTACATGTGCATCCCCCAATTGAAATACCATTTCTGTTTTCCGAAGGTATGATACATGAAACAGTTTTATTAGGTACTGTTAAAGAAATTGTGCTTAACGTTATGGAAGTGAGTGCAAGAAATATTTTCCATATCAGACAACTCCTATAATTATGAAATAAATTTAGGTGTACAATGATGCTACGGTTTATCATTTAGCACTTGATCAAAGGCGATGTCGTTTTGTGAATGAGCTTACAAATTGGGGACAACGTCTTGGCATATACAAATACTACAGCTTCAGTACTTGTGTTGTTGAATGTGCAGTAGCATTGCAGTTGGAGCATTGTAACTGTACAAGTCATTTTCTGGCAGCAGCTATTAAATGTAAGCTACTTACAAACTGTTATACATAATATATTTTACTTTCTCCCAGCTACTAATCAAATATCGATGTGCGACTATCGTGGTTTACGTTGTCTTACTAAAGTCTATACTGAGATGAAGGAGCTACGCAAAAGCTGTGATTGCATGAGTTCATGTGATGAACCGGAATACAATATTGTTTACAACTCGGCAGATGGGTATATTATTATATTACAATTTAATAGCAAATGTAAGTTTCGAAACTTACTTCTAATATTAGTGAAAACGAAGAGGAATCTGACGTAACACAAATAAAAGTTTCTCTCATTGAACTGCCTACACAGCGATACGTGCGAAGAGTAACGAAAGGATACCTGGATCTAATAAGTAATTTGAGTAAACATTTACTGTTATCGGTAATAATTATATGTGCAATTATTTACAGTATCAATTGGGGGAATAGCTGGACTATTTTTCAATGCATCTGTTATACGATTGGTGGAAGTAATTTTCATGTTAGTTCAACTTAGATGGCAACAATTAAAAACCAATTTTTTGTAGACTAATAAATATCTGCAGGGATACCAATTATTTCTCTAGTTTTTTATTGTATAAATTTATAAATATATGTACAAATGCATATTTGATCTTGCCATCAGCATTTATAGAAATTATTTTATAATTATTTACATACCACATTTAATTATTTTTATTATTGATATTTGTGCCATTATAAATATTTTTGCAATTATACAATTGAGATAACAATGTGTGAAACAATATATTATTATCAAATACAAACACATATAACGTACATTATGTTCTTCAAATTTTAACTAAACTTAGCACAAATAAGTTTTAAATTAATTTTAGCTTGAGTTGAATTATACATCTGAAATATGCATTTGATTTCCTAAAAATTCAATTAAGGCAAATAAAATTAACTAAAACCATAAATACGCACTTATCTCAACGCCATTTTCTGCGGTTGCAAAACTGGTGAGTAAGATTTTTGAGAACTTGCGGCAGATTTGGCCTCTAGTGGCAACGGCGATAGAAACTGCACAAACGTGTCAATATAAGTTGGCAAATAAACACAACTTGAAAATATTACAAGACTTAATATCAGTACGACAAATCCATCTGAAATTTAAAAATAGCAGTCGCTTAATTGAATATATTTTTAAACTGATCCTACTCACTAATTAACTTTCGTTCCCAGGGTTCAAACATATAAATACAAGTGACCAATTCGTAATGCATGTAAAGCCTTTTCAGAGAGTTTTTTATATATTCCATATTTCCCGGCTTCAGTTCCAATATTGAGATGCTTTTTTAATTTATGAATTGTGTCAAAATCACTATAATAAAGTAAGAAATTTTACTATTAATATAAATTGTTTTTGTAGTATTTTTAGACACTATCTGAAATCCTTATCTTCACCTTTTTATTTACCACTTTTTTTGTTTTTATATCTTAGTAAAAAATATTGACATTAGCGTTCAACACAGCTGTGCGGCGAATTGGTTGCAGCTAATTCAAAACTGTCAACTGGAATTCAGTGATGCCAAACCAAATTTTGAAGTTGGTAGCACAATAAAATATAGAAGCTACGTGTCAACACTTAAAAGATCTGTTCCGGTACATTTGAAGTAAAAGTCAAATAAAATTACATATGAAAATAATGTTGCAAAACCTCTTTAAAAAGGATGATACATCCAGTATGTACAGGATTTTCAAATAACACTGTAGCGCATCATAAGTTTTTATTTCTACGCACAATTTGGTTTAATTATATATATATTTTTTATAAATTAAAAGTTGATAATGACTATGGATTTGCTTTATTTGAGTTTCACAATATGTGAAATCTTTATTTATTTTATTTGTATAAATGTTGTTTGTTATATGTAACAGTATGCGGGGATTATTCTATAAAATATACATCAGAGAATTAGAGCACTCTCTAAGTACTTAAAAAGGTTGTACTGATGTTGAAGATAAGAGCATCATTTCGTTAGCTGTGTAACTAATTTAGATATTCTATCAATTTCTATCTTGGCATAGTAATTATATGATGGTTAAGATTATTACTGTATATATATTTAACTACCAATTTTCAAAATCCTTTTTTTAACACCAATTGTTTTTCAGTTGGTGGGCTATTACATAAAAAATGAATACTTCATTTATTGTGGTTGCCGCTTCGTTAATTAAATTAAACTAATCTTCACTTTTTAATTTAATTGAACTGACATTATTTCAGTGTATAAGATAAGATGTGCTAAGGCGTTTCAGCGGCTCGTAAATATGGCAAAAGAGAGCAAGTTGCTAATCTATACTGGCCGAAATGTATGCAAAACAACACTATTTTCGATCCCCCAAAATTATATATTAAAAATGGGAGGAAAATTATAAAACAAATAAATAGGCTAGATGCCTGTAATTATAAGAAAATACAATTGTCCTTAGATGACAAATTGTTTAAATATACCCGGGATGAAAATTTTAAAATAATGGGTAATAATATATTAAAAAATAAAATGAAAAATTATGAAAAATAAATAAATTTTAGACTTCAGGTAGCACAACAAAGAGCTCACCAGTTAATAAATAATCTGTGTATTATTTATCTGTGATGATATATTCCGAGTGCCATCTGGCGAAATTTATGATTATTTAAATCCTACACATATCCCAAAAATGATGCAATTATGATAGAAATCAAAAATATAAATGCAAACCTATTATATTTTATTTTAATTCATAAAAATTTTTTATTTTTTATTTGCAATATTCACTGTAGTTACAAAAAAGTCATTAAACAAGTCCTATCTAAACTTAAGTAGAATTATAATTAATAAATAATTATTGTATAGCTAAATAAATTAATTACATTATAATTAATATTCGCTGTAGCTTATATTACAAGTTTAATAAATTTACAATTCAATTTAAAGCATTACACAACAAATTAAATTTATTTGCCATCGATTACATTTCGCACCTCAAAAGGGTTTCAATTTAACAAATAATTAATATACATACATATATATACAATTTATTAATAATTAATTTACTAATTTAGTTTATTTATTTACATTTTTATTTAATTTGATTAAACTTAAAAACTAATTAAAGTTCCTTTCGTTATCGAGCATTCATGTAGCAACAAGAATGCAAAAATTTGTAATGAAGTTGTCCTTAATTTCTTTTTTTTACGTTTAATATCACACTTTTTAGGATTTATTTATATTTTTATTTCTAATATTAATTAAAAATATTCAATTAATTAAATTAAATTAATGTGGACGAGTTCGACTTTCTGGGTATACACAGTTGACAATGAATTTTCTGTCAAATGGGCTTACTATTTTGTACAACTTTTTCCATTTTGATATATGTCAATGAACCTTAGTTTTTTGAGATATCGGACTTTATAATTCAGTTCATGACGAAAGGCCACTGAGACAACATTAGTACTAGTTGGCGTCAGATGTCTAGTTTTTTTTAGTCTAACAAGTATAACAATTTTAGATCTCGATATCTCAAGAATTAAGCTATTTTGACATATTGGTACTTTAAAAAATTGCTCAAAATGGTTGACTCTACTATAATCCATTACCAATCCTTGCCCAGAAAATCGGAATTGCACCAATTAATTATAAGTATTTATCAATCGATAAGCCAACTTACTGTAATGTAATGGAAATTTTTTTAATTCTTTTAAACTAATTATTAACTATGAAAAAACACAGTTACCTAAAACTTTTAGATACTTTATACTATACAACCGTAAATAATAATTCTCAGCTAATACAATATTGTCGTTTATATAAAATTTAAGTAGTTTGCTATTTTTTTATAAATTTATAAAATTTATTGAATGGCTATTTTAAATATTTGTCATTTTAATTTAATCTTTCTTATTAATCAAAGTATCTTTTTAATTAAATGCATACTGCGAGGAACCTTACCTATGTATTTATATATTCTATACACATACATATATATAGAACACATGTACATACGTTTAATAAATCGGTGTACTCGTATATGAACAGTTAATGAGTTACACGCCTGAAATAATACTTTGAATTTGCTATTACTGCCAGCAGAAATTGTAGTTACTTCGTATACTTTTCCTTTAAATTTTTATAGCATATTTTGTTCATACTCTTTGATTTTCCACTGAAGTATAAGCCGAATGGATTCGGAAGAGTTTTTGAGATCATTGCAAGAAGTTAGTGCATTTTTGTTAATATTTTCAAATTTTCGAAGCACTGTACATATGAAAGCATCATGATATCACTCACAAATCGCCTGCTACACTAAAACTGTTAGAACTTCCGATTCGTCATATACTGGTAGTGGCATTGATTTGCAGTTAATCGATCTCTTACCGAAATCCTTTCTTGGACTTTCCAGTGAACCCACTGTATTCTTCTTCATATCAGCATTTTGTGTTTTAGTTAAGAGCATTTGTGAATTACGCTTTTGCCCATGAGTTGGCACATTATGGTAATCTTTGCCTGTCACAACCATATCGATATCGCAATCGAAATTTGATTCATTCGTTGGATATAAAGGTTGTGAGCGATGTACAGCTGAACTACCTGCTGCTAATGAAGAGACTGTTGCCAATTCGGGTGCCGGATTCAGACTTAATTCCATGCCATTAACACGACCTAAAGAACTTGTACTGCCTTTCAATGTGTTGGTGTAGCGTCTTAAGTTCTCTTCGTTTTGTAGATTATTTGATTTTTCTTCCTCGTGGCGTAAAGCGTCAAGTGAAGGTGTCAAATTCATTCCAGAGGAACTACGTAACGTAATACGTTGTCGCCAAATTACAGTAGTAAAAATTGCAAAACCAACGAGCACGATAAAAACACCGCACAATATGCCAACCAACAAACTGCGACCATTGCCATCGGTTATAAGAGCAGTTTCCACTTTCACTTCCATTATGGACACTAAGGGAGAGCGTTCACTATTGCGTAGATCGTTGCGATGTTTTAATGTTTTGTGTTGGCGCAACGACAGCAGCTCTCCAAGTAGTCCAACTGCTTTTGGCAATTGTGCATCGTTAGGTTTTGAAGATGACTGTGATGAAAATGGAAAATTGTTAATATAATTTGCAAAAATAAAATTCAAACAGTTTGTTGAGAATCACACTTACCACAGTAACTTCGATGGTGTCATTAGTGGCAGATTTCAAATCACAGATAATAATTAGCATGCCATCTTCATTATTTTTTGGCAGTTTTACCATATCAGAAGCCAACAAGAAGCGAATAATAGTACACAAACTTTCCACCGTCGTACCCTTTGTAACGCGTTGCAAATCCAACAAAATTGACAAACGTGCACAATTTTCATTTAGAGTAGCTTGGTTTGGCCAACAGTCTTGTGGTGCCGGTAATCGTGGAGGAGCTACGCGTCGTGAAGGCTCTAAAGCACGGCAGTCACCGCGCACTGTACAAGGTGGCGATAAACATGCCTCACTTATCGTTGGTACACATACTTCATGCTGTTTGCATACACCAGACAAGTTCGATGATTTTGTTGTTGCGTCCACTTTAAAGCAATTCGGTAATCCGCACCACAAATTTGTGCAATGCGATGTACCATTAGCACATATGCAAGCATTGCAGTATTCATCACTTCGCCCTGATAGTGCAATATCCAACCAATCCTGCGTTTGGTTCAAGGCATGATATGGTGACGAGGTATTATGTGCATTTAAACAAGCCGATTTCGGGTCCGAAAGCACTAAAATAAAGAACAAATTTTGTGAATATGCGTTTGAATGTGTCGCATTTGCTGACGTACTTATTTCACAGCGTAAACCATGTCTGCCTGGTGGACAAATACATTGGTAACCACCTATTCCATCAATGCACGTTGCACCACCTTGACATGGTTGAGGGGAACATTCATTAACATTAATTCGACAATCAGGACCGGAAAAACCTTGGGCGCACTGACAACGAAACCAACCAGGGCCAGACTCACATGTACCACCGTTATGGCAAGGCTGACCGCGGCATTGATCTATGGGCTCAGTGCAGTATGGACCATCCCAGCCTGCTGAGCAAAGACAATGCGGTTGTAGGCTTTTCTTAGTTGAACCGGGCACGCAAGTACCACCATTCTGACATTGACCAGTGTAACACTCCGTGGCACGTTCCGAACACCTTTTACCTGAAAAGTAAAAGAAATATGCGTATTACATTAAATTTGTCAAAATTGATTAAATAAATTTGTTTAACCACACAGTGCCTTTCAAAATGTCTACTTATGAAAATCTATTAATCAACTTCAAGACAGACGGACGCTGCACGAAACAAGCAAGGCTGCTACATGCAAAATTTGTTATGCAGTTTTCGTATTAATCCGAATTTGTATTCAGCAAAGAATAAAAAAACGTTGGCCCTGCAGTTTCTCTGCCATGATCAGATAACTAAAACCACTTTACACACGATTAGGAATTTTTAATTAAAATATTTTCGTTTAAATTTTTTGTTTCGATTTTTAAGCAATTTTTTTGTTATAAAAGCAAAAGAAATTATCTTGTAGGGAATGCATCGCAACCTGCCACCAAAACTGCAGCGTCGTCGAATCTTGTTGTTCTTGTTGTTTTTATAGTTTTTGTTGATGTTGCTGGCGGTGGTTGCGTGTTGTACACTGTACACTGTACACTGTCTGCGTCAAGACGAGCTTTGACTACGAGTATAAGTTAACGTGTCTTGATCGTTTTTGGTTTTGCGTTAATCCTTGCGCAGAATGAATCGTTTTCGTGCTGATGCACACTGAAGCAACTGAGCTTGTCCAAGGTGAAATCCTAAAAAAATTGCTGTATATGCCACCACAGGGGCAACAACAGCATTGATAGGCGTTTACATGTTACTTTTAGGTTCTCCAATATTTCTTGTTCTTTACTTCCTTCCATATTATGTCTTGTTTTTTACTTCTTTGTTATAGTCATTAAGAGGTTTTAATACTTCCAACCGATTTTTATGGCACTGCAATATTTTAGAAGTGTTGTAGCTTATGAGTTTAATAAGGCTGCAAGGCTCGAATATTTATGCGGCAAGCAGAGGGAGTACAACATGATTTCAGCTAAAATACTTGGATATTCAACTAATTTAAAATCCGCCTAAAGTAGCTGCTTATAACAGTCTATAGCAATGTAAAGTGACTGTGGAGTTGGAATATAAATTTCAAAAACGAAAAAATGAACAAATTAATTTATTTAGTTTAAATAAATCAATTAATCAATTAGTCAAGATTAAAAAATTGAAACTAAAAGAAATGACATCATTTAAAATAAATTAATTCAAAAGCATTAAGAAAGCAATTAATCTCGCAGCCTTTAACAATTCCATATCGATATATTGATGAGTACGATGAGTTTGTATCGATTGAAATGAATTTGAAATTGAAGTTTGGTTGAAACTCACACTGAAGAACTGAACTCAATATGAAATATGCAAATTTTTCTTAATGGCAAATAAATATTGTTTTTTGCGTTTGCAGTGTTAATGGGCGTAGTTAAGACCATTAAAATTACTTTTAGCTTGAGGTCAGATTTAACTATAATAAATAAAAGATTAAATATAGTAGACTTAGAATATTTTTAAGATTAATTCCCACGTTCTTTGCTAATAAAGATTTTTTATTTTTCCAAACTATCTTAAACTACGTGTCAGTCACACATGAAGCAGTAGTAAAGTAAGATAAAATTTTGTATTAAAGTAGGCTTTCTACCGTTAAGGATAATAACTTTAATTTATAAATTATTTACTACTTCAAATTCTAACTACAATGTCACATGTGCGGATGTCGATTCCTAATTATTTTATTATTATTATAAAAAAACACAATGGTACCTGTACCCCTGGACAAATTAGAGTTATAGGTATTTTTTGTTGGACACTTCACTTTGATTTTATAGAATTTACGGAGATAAATATCCTTTGATTCCATCTCTAAAAGGTAGCAATTAATAGAAACGAACTAATTAACAAACCAGTGATTACTGTGAATTGAGATCTATTTCGATTTTCTTAAATATCGATATAGTTTGTATCACGCAAAAAAGTTTGTGTCCTTTTAAGAGAAAAGCGTAACCATCGAACCATTTATAAGCAGTAAGCAGGCATATCAACAAATATAACTTTATTCATATAAGTCAGTTCAGTTATAAGATTCATGCATCCTCGGAAAAACTTGGAAGTAGTGATTAAAATTTAAAGATATTATGCAGCTACTTGATTATTAATCGCATTTTTATACATTACCTCATTATATTGTACCATTTTTACCATAATTGAGAAAAAGATAAAACACAAAATAATCGTAAGAGCCAATATATATCTTATACCGCCTATAATCGTATGTAATCAGTTTATTTATTAGTCAAAATTGATTTTCCTTTAATATATAGAATATAGTTGCCATGCTTACAGGCATTGTACAATCCGCAGGTACACGGATTAGATGGAAGAGTAGTGACACTGTTTGACACTCCCGGAATGCATCCATCCATTTATTATTTCTGAAATGTATTAAGGTTGGCGTATTGCAACAAACACGGATTGTGCTGGTGTTGCCATGCTTAAAAGGAAGTAGAATCTATCAATCACTTTTAATGTCACACTGGTTTTGCGGCCCAGCATTGGAGTATCTAACCAAAATTCCTACAGTCAACTACCGTGTCTCAACATTTTTCCATGGTATAACAACAAGGGTTCTTCTTATGGCTTAAATAAGTCTGTCTACCATAAGATGTTCTTGCATTAGCCTGTATTTATTTATTTAAATTATTCTAAAATCTTTATCTATATACCAAGGGTTGTAGTAAATGATCATTCAAGACAAGTAGAAAAGAAAGAATAGAAATAGATTAAATAGATAGAAAATGAGTATAAGAAATAGATTTCTAAGCATAACTTGACCTTTTAAATAAGTTAAATAAAATCCAGTATTTAAAAAAACTTGACATGCAATGCAGTGCTTTAAATTGTTGCTCTTCTGTTTTTCTGCAATAGTGGGGAAGGCTATGCTATATGTTGCAACAAAACATATTAACAAATGCAATCGAATTCTATGAGTCTGGAATGCAATATAAGAATTTTTGAATTTTCCAAGCTGAAGATAGGATTAAACTGCAATAATTCAGCAACAGCAACAGTAACAGCAACAACAACAATAGCAACAACACAACCGAGCCAGTCGATACTAAAAAATGTTCATTAACATGCTGCTGGCAGGAGTTTTGTACGCTGCCATTAGCTTAACTACAGGAGGGCACATAATCCGCGAGCTATACCGGCGTTCAACTCATGCAATTTCTTAACTGCCTTTAAGTAGGTTTTTATCTTTTTTCCACTGTCTTATGCACTTGTTCTGCTTGTTATTGTTATTATTATTTATATAACTCTTTTTGCAGGTTTTTAAAACTGTTTTTTCTTTATTTTATTTTTGAAATTTTTTAGCGCTTACCTGTCCAACCCGTTGGGCATTCACATGTAAAATCACCATCGCCATCAAGACAAATTCCACCATTTCGACACGGATTTGGTGAACATTCGTTTAAATCTGTTAGTGAAGAATAATTTGCAAAAAATTCAGATGAGAAAAGTACTTGCAGATAATAATGAAAAAGTTTATATTAGAACATTTTGTCAATTAGCAAGGCTTAACGCTCGATTGTCGAGACGCTAATCGCTTGTTTGTAAGCAACTTAAATTGTCTAAAATGTTTCTGTCTAAATTGTTGTTAGCGCTGCAAGAGGCTTGTAAGTAAAAATGCATCGTACCTTAAAACTTTCCAGAAAAAAGGTTTTAATTAACAAAAATTTTTAGGTTTTGTTTTCTTTTCCCAGTTTATTTTTTTTTTTTTTGAATTTTTTTTATGTTCATTATTGACATTTACTGAATACTTGTATTTTTCTAAATTGTTCAGCTATGCTGCCCATCAGCAGCAACTCACTACAAATCTAAGTTCCCAGAAACTAATCGGTATCTTTTGTAGACACAACAAAATTTATATCTACTGCATGTGTTATATATTTATTTGTAGATGACTGTGTTCGTAGACAAATAGTAACATTTGATTTCTATTGATTCATTCAGCTTCATTAGCTTGACTTGAAAATATTCAAAGTTATTTATTTATTTTGATTTCTTCTTTGGCGTGTATGGAGTGAAGTGTATTGTTTGGAATTCTACGTCACCCGTAGAGAAACTATTTTTAAATATTTTCTTAACATTTTTCAGCATTATATATACACAATTTATGTTTTTGATTAAATGATTAATTAAATGCTATTAAAAATTATATAAAAATCAGACAACTTAAGAAGTTGTGAGTTCACTACCTTCTACCTATTTTGTATCTTCCTTGATCACAAAAAATAGAGATTTTACGCTTAATTTATTAATAAAATTTTTTTTATTTTTTACTTACTGTGTTCACAAAAAGTGCCTGTGTGGCCCACATGGCATTTACAAAATGTGCCCACCTCACGTATTTCGCAGTTTCCATGCCCACTACAGGGCAAAGTATTTGTGGTGGAATTAGCAAAGCAACCTTCTGGAGATATAAATTTAAATTTTTTATTAATATATGAATTAAAATTAATAAAATTAGTTAATATAATTAAAAATGTAATATGATTAACAATTAATAATGCAAACTTACCGTTGCAAGGAGGCTGTGAACAAAGTGGTCTTATCTGTTCACAGTGTTTACCGGCGCGATCTGAAGGACAATGACAGTAATAACTGCCTGGCGTATTCAAGCAGCGGCCTTGTAAGCATGGAGATGGAGTGCAGTGATCTTTGGCTTCCTAAAAATATTAATTTTAAAGATTCGTAATTAATTTTGAGTACAAAAATTTTCATTTCGTGTGGGAAAGATATTTTGACAGCTAAAGTTTATACAAATAAACTGATAACAGTCAGACTATCTGTAAAAATACTTGGAAAAGCTCATTTTCAGCAAGAATAATGTGAGTGAGTTGGTTGAAGTGGAGTTATTTGGTTATAGAATTTATGTATCTCCAGGTAAAAGAAGTGACATTCACCTTCCATACTGCAATAGATTTTAGACCCATTGATATTTATTCTCCTACTATGCTGCAATTAATTTCAGATTCAACGTTGCAGATCGTTATAAAATAACGATACCAGGTAATCTAAACTACTTCTTTTATGAAGATAGACTAAGTAACAAAATATAAATATAGTAATATAAGTTAGAACTTTAATATAGTTAAGTCCAGGAATATTTCATAGAATAGTCTATCTTTAAATGTACGGAATATAAACTTTATTTTCTAAAATTTTTAATGAAAGTGCTCAGTTCAACAGCTATTTAAAATGTTATGATAATTATCATATATAATAATTATATATAATATATAATATAATTAATCTTTATGACCACAAGAATTCAATTGGACCATTGAAAGGCCAAAGTACCAAAGTATTATTTGTGATAGACAAGGGTAGCAAATTTTTGATTCGTATATTTACACAGACATTACCATTACGCAGTACAACGATATCAGTTTAAAATTAGATTTTTGAATTAAATTTAGAATAAATACACAAGTATGGAAATATAAATTAACATATCTTAACATATCTGGCAAACTGAAGCCAACATAAGCAATATAAAACGGGATTCTCTAAAAAGATACTAGATAAGAAACGAATAGTTGAAACAAATGAATATAATTACTCAGATACTCAGAACCTTATAAGTGTATAAAAAATCATATGTATTTGTTTAAACGAATCATACAAAACTGAATTAAAAATTTTTAAAAATAATTTTAATGAACTTTTTATATAAAGTATATAAATCTAATTATTACGACTGACTGTCAAGTCATTTTGAAAATTAAATATTTCATTAAAGGATATTAAATAGAAAATTATTTTAAATAACAATAACCTTTTTTTTGTTAATTATTTTAAACTATAAATTAAAAAATTTTGAATATCATTTTTATCAATGAAACGTTTTAAAAAATGATACAATCATTTCCTGTGCCTTCTTGGTGTCCACACAGCATTTCAGTTTAGTTTATCTCTAACTCATAATATTTTGTAGTCCAAAATAAATCTTAATTCATTCCTCCTGTGTCAAGTTTCAGTTTTAGCATTACAAAAACAAATAATAACAACAGCAACAATTTATGTATATAACACGTGAGAAAATCTCTAAATTGCCACAAATATTTTTTGCTTTTGTGTGGAGCCTCGTCTTTGGACTTAACATTTTGTATTTTATATTCTCATCACAACTGATTGCTCGTAATGCGATTAGTGTTAAAAGGTATTAAAGCATCGAACTCATGTGACAGATACATATGAACGAACCAGACGCATACTATATTCACCTTTAAAAGGTACATAACATATAACAGATACAGATACAGCAACCAAAAACAACAACAACAACAACAACAACAACAACAACAACAACAACTGCACTGAAAGTGACAAATACCCGCGGCTACTAAACGTTTCTTTCTACAGTTTTTATGTTTGGCATTGAACTTTTTCATTCGATTTAATCTGCCGCAGCGTAGCTACGAGTACGCGTGAAAGAAGTCGAAGAAGTAGATTATGAACTTCTTCCTACCAGTCAATAACTAATTTTTTCTCCCAATCTCGTTTCTGTCCCTAATTTAATTTTGAAGGCAAAAAGCAACACACAAATGTTGTATGGGGCAACCGCGTAAATGAAATATTGAAAAATCTTAGATTTTAGGTTTTTAGGTGAACTGATTGGTCATCATCCTCATAAGTGTCATCGACTTAGGTAGATTATTTTCTTTATTATCATTTTATTGTAGTAATTTTTTTCCAATCAAAACTGAAATATGCTTTTTTACGTCAATCGATTTAATTTAAAAAAAAAACGCATTCTGACTTAGAAAATTATAAAATATTTAATGTTGGCAGCTTTTACCATCCATTTAGTATCTATACACTGAGGTTGTTATTGTATTCTTGTTCTTAATACAAAATTTTCTTTTTATTATAATTTAAAGAACTTCATCAATGCTTTGTTTTCACGAAAGGTGTTGAAAAGTAAAGCGATTGTAGCAATCAAATGATTTAAGAAACGAACTTAACTCTTCAGGGCATGCATTAAGAAAAATCTAAGATTGCGTACCACACGTGGTGAGGTTCTAAAAAAAATTAAATAATGTGTGTTTCTGACATGCATAAAGAAGACAAGTTATTACTGTTATATTATATATAGAATGTTTGTAAAAAAATATGAAAAGTTGCTAATAAAGAAGCAATTATAATAAGAAATATAATAATGGCAATGAAAAAAATATGTAATAAAGTGTAAACCTTATGTTATTATATCAATTCTGAGTTATTGTAAACGAAAATATTTATTTTCAAAATATAACTTATAAAACGATAATCCTTTTAAAGCAAAATCATAGTTAAATGAATAACAATAATGTTTAATATATCTTTTTAATAATAAAAAATTGATAGGCAAAACATTTTAGTAAATAATATTTTTTAAAAATAATTTAATAATTAAAATGATCGAACTTACCTCACATAAGGAACCCAGATAGCCCAACGGACAAATGCACTTGAATTTGCCAATTAAATCTACGCACTCTCCGCCGTTACGACAAGGTGAATTCGCACACTCATCGATGTCAGTTTCACAATCGCGACCTAAAAATAACAAGAAAAAAAACAAAAAATAGAGCTCAGAACTGAAGCAATTTTTAATACACGAAAAAGACTAACTGTTCCAGATTTAAAAGTATTTAAAAAATATTTAAAGATATAATAAAAAATAAAAAAATAAAAAACTCAAAAATACAAAAGATAAAAACGTTCAACTTACCGGTATAACCATTTGTGCATGCGCAATGATAATCGTTCACTAAATCAATGCAAGTAGCACCATTCTTACACTGTCCCACGCAATCATCCAAATTCTTAGCGCATGTTGGACCACCCCAGCCCTCTAAGCAAACGCATGAGAACGAACCAGGTAGATTTATGCATTTGCGTGCATTAATGCAGGGACCCAGTGTAGTTGCTGTAGCTGCGACTGCTGCTGCTAATCCAGTTGCAATTGTCGACTTTGATGCCGATGCTGATGCTGATGATGACAATGACGAAGAAACTGAAGTAGATGTTTTTGTGGATAATGATGATGCAGCAGTTAAGGCAGCTATGAAAGCCAAAGACGATGTTGTTGTGGTTTGTACGGTGGGAATAGCGTACGCAGTCTCGCATTCATTTACATCCATTTGACACACATCACCGGTCCACTCTGGAGGACATTCGCAGCGGAAACCACCGATTAGATCAATGCAAGTGCCACCATGTTCGCAGGGACCGCCAGCACATTCGTCGATATCTACAAGGGATAAACGATATGTGCATTAAAATTAAAACAAATAAACTTCAAGTTACAAAATGAGATTTTTTGTTTTTGATTAAGAAAAAGAGTAGGAAAACTTAATTCATTTGTGTATTTTCTTGCTCCATCAAGACAAGTTGAAGTGGAGCAGCATTCAAGCACTTTTCTTGAATGCAAATGTAAACATGTAGCTTTCAACTTGTAAGTGACATTTTTATCTGTGATTATAAATCAACGACAAGCTTACTAATCGTCAAGGAAATATTTAACTACGTTCATAATTTTCAAACAATTTTATATAATCTTTAAATACAAATTACAAGACTGCAATTTATTTAAAATAACTCTTTAGGAACATATTAAGCTTGATTTATTGAAAAATTCCTTTTTCGGAAAATCCATTCATGTTTGTACTTTCAAGAATTTTGACTTTTGCGGTACCATTTTTGGTAACTTCTTGCGCGAAAGACAGTACTTTATGCCATTAGTGATGAATGTGGTAATTTCTGTCCCAGATCAACAAACCATCGAACAGGTTTTAAATAAACATTCGATGAGAAAAAAACAAATCTTCCAAGCTAACTTACATAAAATATGAAATAAAAAATCTGTAAAAAGCAAATTATGAAGTAAAGCGAATCTTTAAATAATAACGAAAAGAGTATATTTGCAGAAATTATGACCGCATTTTACCGTAGCCATTTAAATTAACAAGTGCTTGGATGCAGAAAATACAGAGCCGCAACATCTCAATGATGCAAAATCCAAATTCTCAAACCTGCAAATCTTCATGTGAATTTTGGATTTGGAAATATAATAAATTAACAAAACTAAATCGCACGAATTGAAAAGGCACTGAGCGAAAGTGAAAGGCGACGAAACAGCGGGATCCACTGCGATTTCAGACTTTCATATTTTAATATTTCTGGGCTTCTTAAACCATATCGCGAAATTTGTAACTGTAACAAGTTTCTATTCCTTCCTCAAAGCACAAATCCAATTGAAAATGCGTGCCTAATTTGTCCAAATTCGTTTCTAATTTGAAGCACATAAGGAAAAACGAAGGCATGGATTGATGAAATTTGATTCACAACAATGACGCCTGTCACTGAGATAAAAGCTGAAATTAATTGAAATGTTTGCACAGTTTTAAAAACCGAAGCTCTTAA